ATATATATCTCACCGATTGTGCCGTTTATGAGAAGCACATTATGACCATTGATTGTCTCGTTTGATGACATTATATATCATATATATGTCTTGTCTATTAATTATACAGTATTATCAATCAATATATATGTTAATAAAAAATTTCTTAAATATCATATATAGATTAATTGCTATCAGAAAAATATAATAATAATATTATTATATTATTATTAAAAAATAATAAAAAAAAATTATTAAATCAATTGATGTTATTATTAATAATATTATTATTACTATTGAATATAGCGTTCAATGAAATCAATTGTGTTTATTATACAGTAATCCCCCGATAGTGTGGGTATAATAATATTGTATTAATTGGTAACAATCCGTAACAAACGTTACCATTATTTTTGGACAAAAACATTAGTCCACTAAATAAATAAATCTATGTATTAATAGACAAACACTATGTGTAATGAATACATTGCATAACAATACACATAATAACATACAAACCAAACACAGTGTAGTGAAAGAGAGAGAGAGAGAGAGTTAACTAAAGGTCGCGCTATGAATGAATGTATATTAGAATAGAGTATACGGTTTGGTTAAGATTGTTATAGAGAGGGGAAAAACCGGAACCGAAAACAAAGTTTTTTACACATTTTTCCCGGATTATTCCCGGAATCGGTTCAGTAAGACCCCCCCACCCCTCCCAAAAAAAATAAATAAAAAAGTTTTATTTCAAACTAACAATAACGGTTCGGTTTTTATTAAAAAAAGATATTCAAACTAATCTAATTAACTTAAACTACTGTATAATGTTTTTATTTATATTCGGTTTGGTTGTGCTAACTAATTTCTATACTCTAGTGTCATAATAATTACTTTTATAGTATTATTAGTACATTAATAATACAATAATTACAGGGCTTTACTACAGTATATTATGTTTATACACTGTGTGTATGAATATAAGCGGCTATTTATAGCTCAACAAAAAAATAATTGCCTGATATGTACGCAATGCATAACACATTCACTCACTCACTCACTCACACACATACATACATACTCTCCCCAACCAACCCGACTGTCTCATCCGTAACGTTGTCTATGTCTATGTCGGGACTCTCTCTCTCTCTCTCTCTCTCACTGTTTAGTGTTAGTCATGCGTTGTGTGTGTTTGGAGTGAGAGGTAATACACTGTAATGTAATGTTAAAACGAAAACCTCTTATAAATAATATTTTATATGTATTATAGACTGTTTGTACAGTAATAGTGACGCCATTTATAATAGAATTGGTTGTTCTGACTGTTGTTTGAGTGCATTATTACGAGAGACAAGAAAAGAGACTTAAAATATTAGATATATTTTATATATTATTAGTTTAAATGAATATATATTATAATAATAATAATAATAATAATATAATAAAATTGTTTTTATTTTATTTTTCTTCATTAGTAGTAACTAATAATAATCATCTTTAAAATTATTTTAATGAAATTAATAATTATTTAGACAACAATTGTTTTTTTAAAATCATAAATGTATGTTTCGTGCAGTGGTTTGTGTGGTCGTCCCTAAAAACAAAACACCCGACCCTACAGTTTGATGGCCTAAACTTGAGGAGACGGACAGACCCGACACACATACACCACACACAAGACATTTCTAGACATATTTGTGTGGATTTGATTAGTAAACTAATCTAAAGTTATGTTTGTCTCCCATAACGAAAGGTCGTTGCGTGAGCCGAACAGCGGTTATCTACCGAAGCGACATACGGAACATATTAGTAGTCCACCGAACATTCCGGGCACTCGTGTCTATCCATATCCGGGCACAACACCAGATCCACAATCAGTTGTACGCAATTCCTATCACCACACAAACCAATTGCCGATAGGCCATCATTTGGGCTCATTGTATAATTTGGGCACCAATAGTATACCTCCCTCTACGGCGGCAGCTATCGGACCTCAAGTTTATAGGGACAGCAGTTATCCGGTAATTATTGTGGTTTTTCATCGGTTTTTGTGTGATTAGTAGTGATTAATCGTTTTGATTATCTCTTTATCTCTCTCTCAGATTGAAAGGCACGAGTTTGCGTCGATAGATAGGTATAGAAATCGTAGCGAATCTAATGAATTACATCATCCGAGTGGTGCAACTCATCTACAATTATCCGGTGGTCAACAACAACAACAGCAGCAACAACAACAACAACAGCCACCACCACGAAGACGTCCATCACTTCTTCCACATATACCACCAAATAATGAATACAATCTTATGAATACGTCTGGTGTACTTTCATCGCCGTATCTCAACAGAGACAGGTATTGTTGAACAGTCGACAAAAGCCAAATCAATTGCAATCAATTATAAAAAAAATTGTTTACTCTTTTAGCAGATACGATGTCTATCGTTACGCTTCATACGAAAGTCAAGTAAAGGCATCGGGCCTTATCGGCTCCAATCAAATCCAATTGCCAACGACTACAAACGTTAGTCACCACAGTACCGGTCCAACGCCATTACATATGGTCCAAGGATTACACCTACCGTTAGGTTACTCCCATCAGTCGCAACAGTCGGCTGGTATGGTCTCATCGCAGCATTTAGCCCAACATCAACAACAACAACATCTAATGCAAGACATTCAAGATATGAATGTTAACAAAAGGCCGCGACTCGGCTATCCTAACGATTCGAGATCATCCTTACATCAGCCCTTACTTATAGATACTCGTGATATGGTTGAAGTTAAAAAGGTATGTCTTGTCAGTTGACAGAGTTTTTAATAAATAAGAGCTAATGATTTTGTTGTTGTTTTTGATACGATATGATAGGAACCGGCGTACACACCACAAGTGGAGGCCATTTCGCCAACTCTACCGAACGATGACGGACGGCAAGAGTTGTCGCCATTGAAGTCGACAAAAGATGAATTATTACAAAATATTAATAAAATCGATAGAGAAATACTACAAACGGAATCACAAATTAATAAACTCAGGAAAAAACAGGTTTGACTGTGAATTGAATTTTAAATTTATTTTATTTTTATTTTTTGTGTTCTAAGTTTAGATAGTGTTTTACATGAAATTTGTTTTTTATCGGTTTATTTATTTATTTTTTGTTTTGTTTTTTTTTTTTGAAACTAATAGGAAGAGTTAGAATTGGTCACAAATAAGCCCAGTGCTGAGGAACAGGAACAAGAAAGTACTGCTTCCGAAATACAGCACAGTGTCGCACAAGTGATATATTCAGAAAACAAAGTGAGTCTTCATCTTCTTCCTCTTCATTGAATTTGATCCATTCATTCACACATTACTTATATATTAATTTTTTGTTATCGTTTTTCTATTTATTTATTATTATTAAGGCTAAAACAATCAAAACATACGCCCTGTTTGATAAATTGGGTCCCTCTATAGAACTGGTAATAATATTAATAATTGATTATTAATGATGTTTTTTGATAACATATTACTAATGATTATATAACGATTCATTATTTTTATCTAATTTTTTTTCAATTTGTTTCTCTCTTTCTCTGCATTTCCAGCCCTTGTATAACCAGCCATCAGACTGTCCCGTATATCACGAAAATAAACTACAATTTGTTAGTTTTAAAAAGAAATTAATTGTATATTTCAAAAAACGATACCAAGAGAAACAATTAAGGGAACGTTACTTAACTGAATCGTATGATAAATTGATGCTAACGTGGCTCAAGAAACTGGAGAAAAAGGAGACGAATCCCCAGAAAAAGACAAAAGACGCCAAACTTAGAGAGTATTTTGAAAAACAATTTCCAGAGCTTAGGAAACAACGTGAAGACAAGGAAAGGTTTTCACGGGTCGGTCAACGCATTCGTAGCGATGCAGAACTCGAAGAGATTATGGACGGTATACAAGAACAGGAATTGGAGGACAAAAAGATTAGAAGTTATGCAGTGATACCACCGATACTATTAGATGGTAGACATAAAAAACATAATTATGTTAATAAAAACGGCATTATCGATGACCCAATGTCCGAGCATAACGATCGGCAAATGTTAAACATATGGACCGATCAGGAAAAGGCTGTTTTTAGGGAAAAATATTTGATTCATCCGAAAAATTTTGCTTTCATTGCGAGCTTTTTAGACAGAAAAAACGTTAGAGAGTGTGTCCAATATTATTATCTATCGAAAAAAGGAGAAAACTATAAACAATTGTTGCGCAAACAGGTTAAGAAACGTACCCGAGCTCTAGTTAGACAACAACAGCAGCAGCAACAGGCGATTGCCGCACAGGCAGCCGCTCAGGCCAAACAAGCGGCCGCTGCAGCTGCCAAACAGGCTATTACTGCTGATGAGGTAACTAAGAATCAGACAACAACAACAACGACTACTAACACACCAACAGTGACAACAATTACAACAGCAGCGTCGACAACAACAACGACGTCAACTATTATTACGACAACAACTACCGCTTCGGTTACTTTAGCGAATAACAACAGTACGACCACTACGACGACAACATCTAATAGTGTTCCGAAAGTATCCGACTCTGTGGTGGCCAACAATAACACCACCACAACCAACAACAACAGTGTTAGTGTTACATCGGAAGTGAAACAGGAATTGATTGTTAATAACGACAATAGTGTTGTAAAGTGTGATAATATTAGTGATAACGAAGAAAATAATGAAAACAATAACAATGAGTCGTCCTGTGATACGATCAATCAGTGTTGTCTTTGCCAATCAAATGTTGATTTAGCGTCAAAGTCGAGGGCCGTTACACTAACTAATCTAAATCTCTATAATATTAGCGACGATGCCTTCAAACAGGGAATGCGTGTCTGTCACAAATGTCACGTAAAGAATGCCCGACGCAACTGTCCGCTGGTGTCGTGTAAGACTCCGCGCAGAAAAGTGAAAAAATTGAAATCATTTCCACAACAGTGGTTCGATATAAGTAGTGAAAGTCGAGATTTATTGGCTAAAGAACTGGATTTACCAATCGATGCGCGAAAAGCGTGTTCGCGATGTGTAATGAGATTGAGCCGCCGTCTGGGCATAAATGGCCAGTCGGACGGATTAGACATTAATAATCAATTTAATGAGACAACCAATCGTCTGGGTTGGACTGATGGGGAAATAGATTTATTCAAACAATATATTCGAGAAATGGGCCGAAATTGGTCGGCAATCGCAACACAAATGCGCACAAAAACCGATAGAGAGTGTCGTGATTTTTATGTTAAAAATAAATATTCATTAAATTTATGTAAAATATTAAAAGAATATTCAGTTAATTCTGGAAAATCTATTAAAAATAATGAATCGGATTCCGATGATTATATGAATGATAGCGATGGTGATAGCGAAGAAACGTCCAGTGCTGATGAAGGCAACGATAAGTGTAATAGCGATACGGCCAGTGCGTCGAGTCCTATAAATGTTAAAACTACTGATGATATCGACAACAATAATATGAAATTGTTTTACGAAAAGACACCCAATTCTGTCTCAACTAATCACAACTACAGGGAACCAGAGTTTGCCAAACTTCAAGACTATAAAGGATTAAGTGCTTCGCAAACGAGTCTCAAAAGTGATTACGACAGCAGTGCCACTATGAGTGCCGATGAAGGCCAGGGAAACGGTGATAACGATCGTCTATCGTCGTCACCAGCAGTTAGTCTACCGCCTCGAGCCAACTCAGCAATGCCAGCCTTGCCGCCGACTAACCTATATTTTCAACAACAAATGGCCGATAAACAACACGTCCGGCCGGCCAGTCATGACGCAGCGTTTGCGTTAGACATGATAAACAAGTCGTCTCATTCACCGTCTGTATTGAGAAAAACATCGGACACGTCGACTATAAATGCGCGACAAAAAGTTCCGCCATTTTTAATTAACCCAAACGCACCATCAGTGACAACACAGTCTACTAATCACGGTTTGCTAACCAATGTTAACGTCAATGTTAGCAAAGAGGAACCGACATCTGTGCGCGATCTGATCTATCACGCCATTGAAATGAGTCTTCAATCACCTATGAAAGGTGGTTCACAGCAACAGCAGCCGAATAGTGGTCACAACAACGAGACCAGCAAACATGAACCACCAGAAGGCCTATATTCAATGCCTATTGTTAAACGTGAAAATATTATTGATATGACAAAAGTCGATCGTCAGAGTCCTCTTCGTATGTCATATAAGGGTCCAGACATTCAAAGACCCGAAGGCCTGGCCGTTATGGCCGGCTATTCGCATATAAGTCCATTGCCCGGTCATGGATCGCATCCGTATGCTATGCCTGAACACGATGACTATGAAGTACAAGATCTAAGCAAAAAGGATCGACGAATCGATAATTATAGTCCACATAACTATAGTTCCGTTCACAAAGACAAACCAGTTATACATCGAAGTGACTATCCTTACGGCTATATTCCAACGGCCCATTCAAATGCTAATCGTAACCCTTCATCAGTTAATGAAACAATTGGTGACAATAATCATATGCTAAAACATTTAGACCAAAGTCGTCATTCGGCGTTTGTCACTAACGAAAGACTACAATCGCAAGACATATACTCGCGATCTTCACCATTAAATCGTAACAAAATGATGTTAAATAAAGGCAGTCCCGTTCCTCCACCGCCACCATTGATCACATCAAGCAAACCAAATCAAACACAATACACACAATTATCACCGAAATTATATAGAGAAAAATTAGTAGCCGTTACGACTCCAAGTGGTGGCTCAATAACACAGGGAACACCAGCAATACAACCGAATTTTAATTTTGGTCAACAACAACATCAACAACAACAACATCATCAACAACACCAGCAGCAGCAACAACAACGATACGAAGGCCTACTTCGACAAATTTCATCTGTCGGACCAAAAGAAGGCGGCGGTTCCATAACACTGGGAACGCCATTAATGACTGGCGCTAGTAATCTATCGGTAGCCGATCATCATCATCGGCGAAAAGATTTACTAATAAATGACTCATCGTCGCGATCGGACAGACCTGATATGTTGAATCCCCGAAACAATCCATCTATCTATGAGGCCTCAAATGTTGAACAATATTATAGACGAACGCCGCCCACTGGCCCCCACTCCTATTCACCGGCACATCCGTCATCATCGGTATACAAGATGAACAAACCATCTCATCCACAATTTCATAAGGAATTGCAATTGAGTACCAATCAGATTATGATCGATTTTAATACCTCCAAACAGATGCTTACAAGACGTGGAAGCAATTCAAGCGATAAAGACATACGCAGTACAACACCAGTACACCATCAACAGGATGGCCGATCTGTGTTGACTGATCACAAAGCCGTTACAATGTCGCAAAGCCGTCAATCAAATTCATATCCTAATTATAGTCAAAATCCATCCAACTCTCCCTCAACGGTATATCCCGATCGAGGAGTGCCTACCAGAGTTGAAAATCAGTCGCAAATAATGGGCGCAACTGATCCTCATATGACACATTGGGGTCCAACGCGGCCATCATCAGTGACCACACAAAGTCTCAATTATGTAAGTTTTTTTGACGCATTTAGTTTTTTCTACATTAAAATATATATGTTTCATTATAGTGTATAATATAGGATAGATTAGGTAGTAGTAGTAGTAGTAGTTTTATTTTTATCCCACATTAAACACAAACAAACAATTTTAATGCAAACAACATATTGAATGACAAGATATTAATGAAAATAAAATAAAAATAGGTCACTAACCTTGCAAAGTATGTGTCTGGCATTTAAATGTAAAAATTATTAGTATTTATTTTGTATAGTATTTATTTAATTTTTGTTGTTTGTTTGTATTATTATTAAATAACTATAAGATTAGACCTATAGTTTTATTTAACTAAATAACATGAACTTTAATCTCATCTAAATTTTTATGTTTTATTTTTTTCCATTAAAGTTAACAATTGTTTATTTTAGCTTAAAATTAACTAATAAAATCTCTACTAATTTAAGCATTTATATCATTAGTTTAATTATTTGTTGTCACTCAGAATTCTACTAAATTTGTTAAATTTTTGTTAAATGAAAAAATATTTTTTAAAAAAATTATAAATAACTATTTTTTGCAGAATCGCCAAAATGTGATCTACCAGTGGCCCAATTCAACAAAACAATCAGTAATCCAGGCCCCGAAACCCAACTCACCCCGTGACTACCGACAGGATGTGGTAAGTCCCGGATCGCATTCATCGAGAGGACCAACCAATCCACAGGTGCCCATAACATTGTACAATCCGTCGCACGACGCCTTCACAACTCTGGTCAATGCGGCGGCCGCTCAGCCGAATATACCATTGGATAGACGAGCGCCACTGTCGCATGTGCCGCAGTCGCGTAACGATATAATACGTGGCTCAGCCATCAAAACCAGTGCCGAAGGCCTTGAAAAGTCACTAATGGAAGGTTTTCACGCCAGACCACGTAACTATCCGACAGATAGTGGTAATAGTAGTGAATTGTCCAAAGCGGACGATAAACATAGACAATACCCGCGTCATCCCGAAACTGACAAAATGCATGGCGGCCCCAACAGACAACTGCCTCAACAACAACAACATCCCAGTGCAGCTGAAGATTACTTATATTTGGATCAACGAAGACGACTAGAAATTGCAGCCGATTACGAAAGACGTGGACTCAATCGTTCATTTAATGAACAACAACAACAACAACAAAGTCATCCGCTTTCGCAACAGAGCATTAAGTTTTCTCACGAACCCTTCTCGCGTGAACAGTTCGAAAGAGGACTCAGAGAGCCATCGGAGCCCAATAGACATTCTGGTGATCAACCATACAGATTGAAATCCGACGAATTAGATTCCGATGCAAGACATTCAGGCCGACCACCAGTCAATGAATTAGATAACGAAGCGTCAAAACTATTCTCCAGTTCCTTTCAGAAGGATACACCATCGCGCGGACAGTTTACTGCTGCCAATCTAATCGATGCGATTATTACCCATCAGATCAATTCATCGACAGCAGACACCGTGAATGGTCCGAACAGACCGAAAACAACTAATCCAATGATACCCGTTAGCGAATCGCATCAAAGTGTCGACTCGTTATTTGCCAAATATAGAACTGCAGACAAACTCCCACAGCATTCAAATCGTGAAGAAGTGGTGACAATAGCCGACAGTCCTGATCCGGAAAAGTGTGTTTCGAGTATGGAAAGGGATAGACCACCATCTAATCCATCAACAACTAATAAATCGGATCATTTAGCCAAAGCTATTACATTAGGCGATCACATAAGTACATTGATTTCGAAAAACTACATAAACGAAAGCCGATCTCCAGTCAAACCATTGATTACAATTGACTCGCGAAACAGTCCGACCGTTTCACACGGAATGCCTCCCATTTCTATAGAAGTGCCTCGCAATTCATTTCCAGTGTCCAATTCATCACAAATTCTGGAAGGCATTGCTGCCACCGCCGCTGCCAATATAGCCACGACTGAACCAAATATACACCATTCGCTTAATCATTCGCCATCTCTGTCGAGTTGGAAACTACGTAAAGCTTTGCAACAAAGCAAAGAAGGCGTTGGCAAAGATCTGCTGCCGCCGGTCGATGAAAGACAGATCATACGTGTTGCCCAAAACGTGTCACCAAACGATCACCAAAAGTCTTTGTATCCGACACAACAGCCGCCAACTAAATCAATATCACCCGCTTTTACTCATTATAATGTGGAACCGATATCACCACCCAATCAATCATTTGCCGAAACAACTACGGCAACAACAACACACGCTTCTCACTTGAATTCATCATCATTTAACACGACATTGGCAACAACGTGGACACCGACCACATCATGTATTCAAACAAGTTTGGCGGCGTCTAATCGTCACCTATACGGCGGCGGCGGTGATATGTCCAACGTAACCACTACTGAGAATCTGTCGAAACATTCGGTAATATCTTCATCGTTGTCGACACAAAATCTAATTAACAACTCTAATCTAAACCTAAATCGATCCACTAATCATCATCATCAGCAGCAGCAGCCACCGATGGGTTTGTCACCATTGGATTATGTAAAAAATAAAATTGTTGAAGTAATGAGAACTACCGGTGACGAGTCGGCAGTAATGACCGACGAACTAAGCAAACGAGTCAACAATAATGAACCGAATTTATTGCATCATTTAACTGAACCACAACTGAAACGAGAAGAAAGTGAATCGAAATCCCATAGAGATTCCGAACGAATTGTTGTTCCAATGGATAGTACGACAACAGATAATAAGCCGATCGATAGCGGACTAAACGGCGATAATAAATCTATTAAGCCATCATCAGTCAGCGATCATCATCACTCGCCATTAGTTCCATCTGCATCATCTACATTGTTACCATCAAATGTTATCACTTCATCGCACAACTTAGTCGTTAACGATACAGAAATCTCTGGAGAAACGCCAGCAAAGAAGATGAAATTGTCATCAGATGCTGCTTACGATATCAAAAGTCGAGTCGAATCGTCGTCGTCGTCGTCGATGCCATCAGTATCGGTGAAAGACAAAAGTTGTTCAGATACTATGATATCGCAGAGTTTACCGCCGCACGACTCGAAGTCGTCGTCGTCTGTGTCCACCAATAAGATTAACGATAGTTCAACGGCCGAAAAGACCGCCAATTTAGCGGTCGGTTCTGTGCCTAACGATGAGTCATGTGATAAATCGGAATCCAAGAACATCTATCCGGACAGTCCCAACTCGCCGGGCGAAATGGTTATCGACGAGTCGGACCAGAACCCGACGAGTGACAAACCGGACGCCAACATTATCGGTCCGTCTGATACTACAAGCGCCTCGTCGTCATCGTCGACACAACAAAGTCTTATCTCGACCTCAGACCAAAATATTTCTGCCAGTGAATCGGCGAAATGTGTTGTTTCATCCGATGGACTAAATCAAAGTCATTCGATATCGTCGTCGGTAATCGAATCAAAGACATCATCGAAGAATCATCCGACACCAGCATCGAGTGCTATCGACAAATCGGTTTCAAATCCAGTAGTAACAACTGCCGCCTCCACTGCTGCTGCTAATTGTTTGTCAAATAATCTGTCAATGGTTTCGAGTTCTGCACTACTAACCACTACATCTAATACCGGTTCCACTGTTAGCGATACTAAAGAGTCATCCATTACAACAGGTATTGTATTATTATTATTATTATTACTTGAGGACTACTCTAATGGGTATATAATTTAAAATACTAATCATTTAAATATATTGCTATTTAGTTTCGTCATCAATTGGCACCACTGGTGGTGGTAGTGGTGAGTCTCAAGCACAGAGCTCTGATAGCACTAGTAGTAGTAATAGTATGACTGGTATCCAGTCGTCGACCATCACTGGTAGCGGAACGCCCAGTAGTACAACAAGCAATGTATTGGCGCCACAATACGAGCCACTTTCCGACGATGAATAGTTTGATGATTATTATTATTACAAGAAAATTGAAGAATATTTATAATTTAAGAAAAAAAAATTGATAAAAATATTTAGGATTTATTGAAAAACAAACAAAAAATTATGACAAATACTGTGATATTCAATGTAATGTAAAAAAGAAAAGAAATGATTATATTATTATTAATTATGTGACTATTAATTAATTCAATGTTTTGTCGTCTAAACAAACAATATATATAAATATATATATATAAATAATATCGATTTGGATTTCACTGCCCATCAAAAAAAACAACAAAAAATTGTTTCAAGAAAATAGACGCTACGCTCACATATACATCACATATTGAAATATTTAAAAGAAAAAACAAATGAGAAAACATGAGAGATATACATATATATATAAAAGTTATTTACTTTTTATTAAACTTAATAAATAAACAAAAAATCACATCTTTTTCTTAGCAGTGCCTTCAATGGCAACCAACCAACCAAACAAAAAATATATGATTTTTCTATATATTTTGAAAAAAGATCTCTTATTATTATCAATGAATGATTGAAAAATATATATATAATTATTATGTGTAAAAAATCAATTCAAGAAAAATATATATTTCATTATTGTTAGCTTTTATTTAAGCAAAAAAAATATATTTTAAAAAAACAAAACAAAAAATTTCAAATTGTTTTTTTTCAACAAATCGGTGCAATCAGTTATAACTCTTTTTATTTTTCAGGTTTTGGATCTATTATTAAATTTAAATTAAACAAAACAAACAAAAAATGACAAATCGCTCACAAATTGTGTACTTTTTTGTGTTTTTAATGTAAATATGATTATAATTAATTAAATAAAAAATATTAATAATAAGTATATTTAAACAAATTACAAAAAATTGCCTTGTTTATAATTAATAGTGTGTTAAAAACCATTTATTAATTTATTAAAAAAAAATCTTTGATTTTAAATATTAACTTCAATTTCTGTCGCCTTTAAGTGATGTGAGTCCAGCTCTCATAATCTCATCGACTAATAATAGATTGCAAGCAATGGTTGTACTAAACGAGATAAATAGAGTTTAAACAAAAATTTAGTTCAAACATATCGATAACAAAAATAAATGAATGAATTGTTAGTTTGTTTGTTTACTTACCACGAATTGATGAGCTGTCGCTTCACTTTATAGTTGTCGAGAATACCCAAATCCAACGGATTGATTGCTTCGCCAGTGTTTAGGTCAACGCCGACCGGCTGTCTGGTTGCGTGATATTCGTTCAACAACTTAATAATGACGTCCTGTTGATCAAAGCCGGCATTGAAGGCCAATGTCTTCGGTATGACCAGTAAGGCGTCGGCAAAGGCCTGTACACCCAACTGGGCTTTTCCTTTCACTTCTTTTTTATAATCAATAAGTGCCGAATAAAGAGCGACCTCGAATGCACCGGCGCCGGGAACGACAGACTTGTCGTCGAACACATTCTTGATGGCTCTCAGACCATCGTGAATGGCGTCTTTTACCTGAACTATCGAATACTTGTTCGGTCCCTTAATCAGTATTGTCACCGACAATGGATTCTTCAGGTCCTCGACAAACGTATACCTTTCCTCACCCAATGTATGCTCATAGACTTGGCCGGCATAACCAAGACATTCGGCAGTCAACTCATCCAATGAGTTCATCGGAAAACCGCCGCACGCGAGACTCAGGCGCTCCATATTTCGTCGTTTGGCTCGTCTGAGTGCAACAATGCCGGCTCGGGCCAGACTGTCCAACGAAATCGGATCAATTCCCTGTTGATTGATAACCACAAAGTTCTTCTCCTTGTCGTCGCCGCAAACTTTGTTCTTTAGCTCAATAATCTTTGTCACTCTATCGTCGATAAACTTTCTTTCGGCGTCAACCAGTCGTTCCCTTTCCTCAGCCGTCTTGTAGAAGAATCCCGAATGGACTGTCCTGTCATTCAGATTAGTAAAGATCGATAGATAACGTTATATCAGTTCATATTATATCAGGTTTTTGTTACAATCAATTCTTACGTCTTTTCGTATTCAAGCGATACATTCATTACAAGAACATAAGCATTCTTTACGTGTTTTTTCATATCTGGATGTCTGGCGCCGTGATCTAAGACCAAACCTTTGATAAGACTTGTGTCTTCAAGAGACTTGTGTTGCATCTCTTGGATCTCAATCATAAACAAATCAAGCGGTTTTTTGTCCTGTTTGATGGCCAGTATGGCGTCCACACAGATCTCTGCTAAATGATCGGAGAATTTGTGAGTCAGTTTGGTTCGGATGGACGTCTTGGCGACGTTAAGCAAAACACTGCGATCCACTTCTTTGTGTTCAACTTTGATGGCGTTCAACACTTCTAAGGCCTTCTTTCGGGACAAATCATAGCCATCGGCGACAACTCGTGGATGTAATCCCTGCGACAAAACAACAACAAAAATAGTTTAAATTATCAACTCTTCAGTTAAATCAGTTGTGATTGATTACATCACTGATATGTAGCTCAGCCTGTTTGAGAAGTTCGCCGATAAGTAGTACTGTCGAAGTGGTTCCGTCACCGGTCTCATCGTTCTGTGCGGTCGACGCCTTGGCTATTAGCGATGCTGTCGGATGTTGTATTTGCTGTCGAAATTTAAAGACATTTTTTTGTTGTTTAATGGATCAATTAAATCAATATGTTGTCACCAACAACAACATCAAAATTAATTAATCAAAAAAACATTTGACAAATAAATAATTGTCGCATCAATTGAATCATCAGATTTTTTTTTTAGGTGACACCCATTGCAATGTTTTTTTTATTAACAAAGACTTACCATTTCGTGTAGCAAAACATTTCCGTCTTTTGTTATCTTAATATCGCCGCCGCCGCTGACCAACCTATTAGTTGATGACAATAATAAAGACATAATTTAATCAATTAGTATCCATATATATGGGATGTGGTCTTCAAAAACCGACATTTTCATTGTGCCTTTTGGTCCCAAATTGGTTTTCAACACTTCTTGTAGACCTTTGGCACCGCTGATGTTGACGGCCAATGCCTGCTGATGTCGGGCAACCTCTGCCTTCGGGTTCAACGAATGAATGGCTGACATTGTGTTCGGTTGTGTGGTTCGGGTTATCGGCTTTTAATTTATTAGTGACCACTGGTTTTGAAAAAGTTTTATTTTGAATGTATTATTATATTTTCAATCAAACACTTGATGTGAAACACGCTTTCAATGCTTTCATACGATTGTCTCGACTCTGACTGATGTCTAATCACTAGATGTCTCTCTCGGCTATTGTTTGGATAAATATTTTTTTTCTGTTCAATCAATCGGTAATTACGACGGTTATTGTGACCGACAAAAAAAGTGGACAATTATTTTAATTAGTTTTATTAATTTTAAAATAGTTATCTAATTATTATTTTCGGGGTATAATATGTGTTGTATATAACGTAATACACATTTGTATGCAATTTTTAAAAGTATATACAATATACCTGTATATCATAAAGTGTTATAACTTATAAATTATAAGTAATTAATTTTGTTTTTATTAAAATAATAAATTTATTTAATAAAAAATTAAATATTTTGTTGACTTAACGTTATTTTATTTTTCATTAAATATGTTTATTAATTTTTTTTCTCTCTAGTGTTTCTATTAAATTATTTAAACGTGTAATTAAATGAATTTTATTTTTTTTAACGAAATAAATTCATCAGAAATAAAAGTTATATACAATAATTAAAAAAAATAATTTTTAAGTTGTTTATGTATTTGATCAGTGTCAAATTACATATTGACTTTAACTAAACGCCTTTTTATTTAATTTAGTTTTAAATAAATAATATATTTGTTATTTAATAATTTTTTTGTTATAACATACGTATATTTTACAATATTTTATTATTATGTAATAAATGAATATAAAAATAATAAAAGTTATAAAATTTAATGTAAAAAAATATATTTAATAAAAAATGAGGTAGTGTAAATTTTTATTACATTTTTTTCATACATTGTCTAATACATTATATTTAATTAATTAGTATAATTGAATTTTCCTATTGATTTCATATTACACACACAATTAAATCATCAGTATTTTTATATATTATATAAATAATATATTATATTATATATAAAATTATTATTAGAAAATAACTTTTTTTAGTCAACTTTATTGTTACTAACTTTAAAAAAAACTAATAATAAAACTATTAATGTCTATTGACTTATTACTTATCTCATATTGATATCAAATAAATGAGTCATTTAAGTAATCATATGGAAAGTTAACTATTAAAAAATGTACTAAAAGTAAAATTAGTAAAAATGTATTTATAGTTCATTTTTTTAAAAACTATTTTTTATAATTTTTACTCAATGTGTCGGCAATTATACTGTATTTGTTATAATATTGAGTCAAATTAAAAGTTATATCTGATATATGACACTTGAAAATAATCAGTTTTGATTTAATTAATTAATTTATTTATTTATACTAAACATATTACTAGTATTTTCCAGAAATTTATATAATTAGCAAAACATAAGGAAATAATTTAGCAAACAATGCAAAAAACAATTTGAAGTACATATGCTTTTAAAAAACAAAATAGGGGTTTAGTTATGTAAATTTGTAACCAACAAAAAAAATACCCAAACCATAATTGAATATATATATATATATATATATATTATACATAATTAATAAAAATAATCTTTTTTTAGTGCAATGGTTAAATTTTAAATATGATAATATAAATTGTAATACACAATAAAATCTACATATTATAGTTGTAAAAGTTTGGTACAAAATTTATTTAAAAATTAAATTACATTTATCTATTTATATATATATATATAGTATAATATTTAAAAACCAATTATTATTATATTAGAAAAATTACAATAACAAAAATTATAGTATTGATAATTATATCTATTAAAATAAAAATTGCAAAAAAATCTCTGACTAACTAACCGAACCGGATTTCCAGCTCTACTCTATGTGTATTACTGTGTAATATATTTTTTATAGTACAGTATTATATCTCTCTTTTATAATAAAGTTTAGACTCTAAACAACTAAACCGCACGACTCTATTAAACACACAATATATTAAACTACAGTACTGTATATACAACTATTAGCACTGTGTTTAAGGTTAAAGTTGTAATACAGTATAATAGACTATACAGTACTGTATAATACATGAAGTAATAAATAATAAAAATAAAATGTATTTCACTATTGAATTGTTGAATCAAATAATACATTAAATTTATATATGAATAGCAAGTATGATATATAACGTCATACAATATACTGTCAATACATATAATACTAAACTATTAATGTTTTTTTTTGTTTGATACTTACTGTTGAAATAAAAACAAAATCTGTGCAATAATTTTATTATAAATTTTTATTATCATTAATATTATCACAACAATAATACAACAAAATTGCTGTCAACACACACAACACTACAGTAGTGATTGCACCTATCATTTGCATAGTTTGGATAGTCATCGGAAACAATGACTGCCAGACACCAGAATAATAATAATAATAATAATAATAACAATCAGAGCTCAGGTATTAATGTCGACTTTCCGTCGCTGAACATTGATTTCAATTCAATTGGCGAATCATTGAATCCAAGAAAATTGGTCAACAATTTTGAACAATTTATGGCATCGGCAACGGGTGGTGGCGTCAGCGGCGGTGGCGGTAATTGCCAACAACAACAACAGCAGCAGACAAATCGTGTCAAAGACATCGCATGCCAGAGCTGTGGCGTCAAGTTTACAGTCTTCAAGAGAAAGGTAGATAACACAAACCCCCCAATTGGGATCAGTTGGTTGATTGGGGTTTATACCAAACATACTATGATTTGGTTGATCCCACCATCACTTGATTTTTTTGTTGTTGTTTAAATTGGGTAAGACATCAATTATCCCATTGATCTCTGCAATAAAAAAATAGTTAACAAATTGCAGATATATTTACCATTAGATTAGATTCAACAGATTTGTTGAAATGAGTTGAGAGAGAGAGAGATGTGATTACCATAATATCAAGTATTACTTACCCGTAATAATAAGTTTGATTCAGTCATATATGATAGCATTGAATACATTAAAAAAAATGACATGAAATCCGTGTTCAGACATATTAATTAGTCCTATCATTTGTTTGGTCCCAAAGAGTTTGTTGACATTATATAATGGATTGCATTGAATTCATTGATTGTTTTTTTTAACAATTCATTACTTTCTGTTTAATTGATTGTCAATTATTTAATAGCGGACGTGCTTTGACTGTAATATGGATTTTTGCAGTCAATGTCTGAACAAAGAGTCGGCCGCTGATCGTAAAAATCATTGCAAAAGATGTGTCGTTTTCAATGCCATACCAATGGACAGGAATGCGTTGAATGGCTTAAGAGTTCGCGATCTGAAATGGTTTTTAGCCTCAAGACGTGTACAGCCGCAGATGTGTAACGTAAGTATTATTTTATTTATTTTTTTAATTAAAAAACAGACCTCTAAACGGATTGGTGTCTTGAAATTGACAGGAAAAGCGAGAACTCGTGGATCTAATACTTCAAAGATTTTCGCCTCAATCAGCAAATACCTCAGAAACCAACGATTATTTAAGACGTTTCGATAATCATAGATCCGGTGGTGATAGCAGAGATGATACTACTACTAATAATAATATAAATCAAAGTCATAATCAGCCGCAAACACGACAACCGGATATGGTCTTACCCGATGGCCATCAGTCGACTGATTCGGGTGATAGTTATAGCAATCCTCTCCCGACGAGCAGTGAATCAAATAGTGATACTAATAATGAACCGAACGTTTCTAATGGTAAATCAGAGTCAATAGCGGACAATCCAAATAGTTATTTCAATATCGATGACATCAAAAGTATGGATCAACTTAAAGACTTGAGTGTTAAACAACTAAAGTTGATTTTGACCCGAAATTTCATCGATTATAAGGGTTGTGTCGAAAAGGAAGAACTGTTCAATAAAGTTGAACGTCTTTGGAATGATAGACAACAGACTAATTCTCAAAGTATTGAATTTAATTTATAATTTTTTATTGTTTTTTTATGAACTGCTTATCGATTTTGTTTTAAATTGTTATTATTTTGTCTTTAAAATTCAGATGTCGATGACATTCCCGATGATAATCTCTGTAAGATTTGCATGGAATTGGCCATTGATTGTGTGCTTTTAGGTATGATTTTTAATGACCATAATTAGCTATAATTGATTACTAATTAATATTTTTGTATAATTTATTTTTAATTGTCCAGAATGTGGACACATGATCTCGTGTACAAACTGTGGTAAACGGCTCAGCGAGTGTCCAATTTGTCGACAATATGTCAGTCGAGTGGTTCATATTTTTAAATCTTAACCATTATCGTAATTTTATTTTTAATAATTATTTTCAACTACCAATTTAGTCAAACAAATACATTATATTACAAAACAAAATACATTATCAAACAAAATGTTCAAAAAATAATATGATATCTTATTTTTATGTGTATAAAATGCGCCATTTTATATTGGTAAATTATATCAACGATAATTTATCAATATATACAGTATATAGATATTATTTTTAATATATTGAAGAATATTGAAATATTGTTATTTAATTAAATACAAACTATTGTATCATTTTAACGTATATGCCTTAAAATTTAACTTACCTAATAGGCATATACTGTAAAGTACTTATAATTATATAATATATAAATATATAACTTATTAATTATAATGATTATTATTTTAATATCAATTTGAAATAATTAGGGAAAAAAATTAAAGTCAAATAATACAATGAATTAATTTTCTTATATCTCATTTATTCAAATATTCAGTACAATTATTCTGTTATAAATTCATTGAAAAATCTTTATTTGTTAAACACACAGAAACCAGAATATAATAATAAAACTATTTTTTACAAACTATTTTAATTGCACTTTATTTTTTACTTAATAATAGTAAAAATATCACTTATTTTTTAATTTATTTTGAAATATTAATTTTTTAATAATTGATTTTTAAAAAATATTGAGCACCAACCATTAGTTTTATAAAAAAAACATTTACTTAAATCAATGGATCAATTGTGTTGTTAGTCGATGAAACTAATGTTTTAACTAATAGTCAACAAAATGATAAAAAAAATTATATTGAAAAAAATCATTTATAAATTTTAGTTAAGTATTATTATTATAATTTTATTACTTTAATTATTACACACATATTTAGTTATTTTTTTAATTAATTGTTAGATTTATTAATTTTTTGTTCATTATTTCTCTATTGTCAATTACCGTAATTAAAAAAATTTTGGCACATGTTTTTTTTTGCTAAACTATTATAGTATAATATCAATTAGTAATTTAAATTAAATACAATTAAAAAAAATTATACTGACTTTTTTTTAAAAAAAAAACAACACAAATAAAAATAATAAGTTAAAAATTGAGTTTTTTTTAGTTATGAAGGGGGAGAGGAAAGGGGAAGGAAATCAATTTCAACAATTCTAAACCATTTGATGATATAATTAGTAATTAATTAATTAATTATTATTATTATTTATGAATGTTTTCGACCATTACTATAGGCTTCGGTAAAATTTTTTATTTGTAGCGCATTTGTTGAGAGCGGACTAAATCTAGGAAAGCTATCGCCGGTCGGTGAGGACGACCTGTACAACGGCGAATGTGTCCGCGCCTTGGACTTAGTCCACGTACCGCCGCTAACGCCGCCGATCGGCGATGACGGAGGACTGTATGACTTGTATTTGTAATCCGATGTAGTGTTATTTGAATAGAGCGGCGGCGGCGACACATAAGAGTCAAAGTTTCGCTGTCTGGACATCGGATCCTTTCTTATGGATGAGTAGTAGTCGTCGGGTTCGCGTTGGATCACCGGATGAATGTATTCGCCGCTTGATTTCGGTTCTGAACTCCAATAGGGTTTCTCTTCACTTGATTTTACACTCTATAGTAATGAAAGTTTTAAAAAAAGAAATTAATTTTTATTTATTGAAAAGTTTTACTATAAATAAACCCTAAATTATGGTAAATTAATTTTTTTTTTAAACTAAAATTGAAAAATCAATTTACTTTATAATGTTTATCCCAATCCATGAATCTATTGAGATTTGTTTCGACTTCATCCCAATCTTTGAAACTTTTTTCAAAGTTTTCCTTTGTTGACGAATCGGTGACCACTTTGTTATTGACAGTGGATTTAACATTGGACTCGACATTTGCCGACACATAACCCGTAGTATCTCTATTCCACTCATTATTATTGTAATCACTCTTTCGTTTGGATTCGCTATCCGAAGACGTATTCATCGGTTGACTCTTCTTTTTTCTAATATACTCTTCAATAACCTGTCTATCACTTCGCATCTCTCTTCGCTGATGATTATCGTCACCGAAATAGAAAGTCTTTTCCGGCGGACGGTTCGGCGTTTCAGATCTTGAGTCGACTCGACGACTGCTACTCAGATCTCTCTTCTCGATGGTTGTCCTAAAATCATTAGCCCTGTCCTCATCCTATGAATTTGTAAATAACATATTATTATTAGTAGTAGTAGTAGTAATAATAATATCTATTTAATTAAAATTATGTCTAAAAATAAAAAAATAATAATAAATACATCAGAAAGTGATGCCTGAACTGAGGCGTCGCCTTTCATCTGAGATTGTGGTCTATAGTAGTCGTGAGTCGGCGACGGAGTTCTTGATCGCAAATCCTTCGCATAATAGTTAGCACTTGTACTGTACTTTTGGTCCATTTTTGATGTCCGCTGATGTTGTGTCCGACTTCTTGTTCTATCGATGGATGGATAATCTCTAGAGTAGGTCGACAGCGGTGTCGATGTCCGACCGGTTCGGCTAACATTAATGACATTCTTTCCGGTTCTTGTGTTGGATGTCTCGACAATATCGCTCTCATCACTGCTGCCAAAGTGGTCGTCCAACCATCTGATCAATTAAATTGTTATTACTATTAAAATACAATTTAAACTTATAATTAAAAACAAAATACCGATCAGTCTTTTTGTTTTCAATTGATCTAATATTTTGCTGATTCATAGCTCTCGAGAAGTTATCAAAACCGTGTTCATAGTCTTTCAAATGTTCAATATTTCTGGTCGTCTCAGTTGTCGCCGCCGGCAACGCTTTGAGCTGTTCCTGACCTTCTTCGGGAACTTCGTCGTCGTTGAACTCTTCGTGATGATGAGTACGAGTGGTTTCAGTGACAACATTACCATCTCTTCCAACGCGTGATGTTTCCTTTACTTCTTCGCAATCGTTAATTTTATTTGATTTACTCGAATAGTGAACGAGTTTGCCTTTTGATCGGTTAGGTGAGTCGTCTGAGTCCAATTGGATCAACTCGTTTGGCGCCTGCAATGCCTTCCGATGAATATCATAGCCGGACAGCTCTTTATAGCTTTCGTCGTGGTATTGAATGTTTTCTTCTTTTGCCTCTCGACTCGAATTATGTGTTTCAGTCTTTTCGCTGACCACTTGATTACCGCCGGGCACTGCTTTATAGCCCGGTGCCGGTGGTGTGTCTGTATCGCCAGTATTCTTATGATTTGAATGCTCTGACTCTTCCTGTTTCTGATCCTCTTTAGTCTTTGTGGTCACTTGTGGACCGCTGTCTGCAATAACTTTTCCGTCTTCCATAATGATCTGTCTCTGGACTCTGGTCTCAACCTGTCGTGTCTTATGGTTGACAACCTTTCGAGATGTAGTCCACTCCTCTATAGTTAGATTTTTTTTTGAAATAATAATAATTTTTATAGTAATTTGTTTTTCTAAACCTAATAGTTTACTAACTGCTAATCATCTAAAAATAAATTATTTCTTAAATTAATTGAATTTTTTTGTTAAATTAATTGAAATTTTTTTGTTAGTATTGTTCGACAAATTCAATAACATATAATTTAATTTATCGATAGATATACTCTTTTATCTATAGTATCTAAAAAAATATTTTTGTGCCCACAATTTTTACTCCCATTAACATCTATATGATTTTTGTTATAAATATTTAATATCATAAACAATTTAATTTTATATTCAATATATTTTTATAACCTATTTTTATGTGTGTTTTAAATTTTCAATTATATATTTTTGTAAACTAAAACTTAATATTTTTAAAAAATATAATATAAATAATAATTAATAAAATAAAAATCGATAGTAATTTAATTAACATTTTTTATATATATTTACTAATTTATAACCTATTTGAATAATATTGTAATAATAATAATAATATTGCTAATGTCAATATGTCAATGTTTTTTTTAAATAATAAGCACAAACGTCAAAGATTTTTATTATACTTAATTGTTTTAATGGATAATATTGATAATTTATAGCTAAATGATGATTAAACAATGATTTAACACATGATTTTTATATAAACGTAATTAAATGATTATGGGAAAATAGTGTTTTTTGTAGTTATTGTAATTAACTAAGTAATAAAATGATACTTATTTAATATATTTATCAATCAATAATAATAATAATATTATTATTACTACAATGTTATTATTGAAAAAAATTTATTTGATAAAAATGTAAAATTAATCAAACCTTGTTTGGCAGCTGTTAATGCATTGCTATTCACCTAAAAAATAATAAAACAAAAAAAACTTTTTCGTAATTAAGTCAATACACTTATGGGCTTTTAATGTATTTTATACCTGTATTGTTAAATTACATTACAATTATATGCAAAATAATATATTTTATTTTTATTTAAAAAATGCTTACGAGATCCCATTATATATTAATTCATTGTATAAATTTGTCCTCAATTTTAATATTTAACGAAATATATGGAATTTTTGTTTGATTATATAATACTGTATATTATTTATTTTAATAAATTTACTCAAGATACTTTAATTTTTTTTAAATATATATATTTATTTATTAAATTTTTATATTCAGATATACTATATAAATTATAAATATAAATTAAATCTAAAATTAATTGAATTACTACTATAAATTTATTTAATAATAATTGTAATTATGTTTAACATTTTTTTGTAGATAAATTTATAATAAATATTACTTCACTTAATAAATATTAAATCATAAACATTACTTAATATTTAAAAAAATATTCAATTTTTAAAATTATTTTAGAGTTTCTAAAACTATTAATAATTTTTATTTTAATATATATATAATAAAATAATAAAATAATAAAATAATAAAATACTGAATAACATACGGGAATAACGGAAGTACTTTTAGTGGTGACCACTCTTTTTTTGGATCCATTGCTTTTAACACTTTGATCATCCATTTAATCGGTTAATTGTTGGCACAATTAAGCGAAAATTCAAACAGATTTATCTCCTAAATAAAGGATTTTTGTTTTATTTTGTTAACTAACAAAAAACACTACACTTTTCGCACTACACTATAGAGTAGTAGAAGAGATGAGATTAAAAAACTAATTGATTGTCAAGTTTTCATATATACAATGCAATCATAAAAATTGAATTGCAATGCAAAAAGTACACACTTTTCGGACAAAATATTTTTTGAACATTTATTTTAAACGCCTATTCCTATCAAAAAACGACTCATACATAGTCTCTCTCTATCTCTCCTACGCTATGGTTTTGGCTTTGATTTTGATTATTAGTTTGTTTTTTGAAAACCCAAATATATTATGTAAAAGACGGCGTATATTACAAACACCACACACACACACACACATTCAGAGAGAGAGAGAGAGAGAGAGAGAGAAAGCCATAAATGGTTAAGACATTCAATAAAATTCATGGCAAACAAGTTTTAGAGTCCATTCATGCCATTCATTGAGTTTTAGTTTTTTTTAGTTAGTCTGTCAGTCAGTCGACTAGTAATCAGGTATTGCGTAAACACCTGAACAACAAACCTAACCAAACAGTTCTCTATATGTTTTCCTCCAAAATAAAGTTATTTTTCATTTCATTGCTTTCTCTCTTTCTCTCTCTTTCTCTCTCTCTCTCTCTCTCTCTTCCTATACTCTATCGATGAGTGGGTTTTTGGAGGCTCTCACTCTTGGATGCAAAACTCCTTATGTAGTAAATTAGAACACAAATTGTTGTTTTATTATGTATGAGCTATTAGTTTGTTTGTTAGGTTAGGATACCAGTGCCGAGTGTGGGACGAGGAGGTCTCAACTATTCTACACGAGTCTAAACTAATTTCAATTGCAAACTTTTTACACGATTTTCATGTCTATAATGCTTTATATACATTGGGACAAACCTATTGGTGTGAAAAATATATTGTATAAAATTAGCAAAAATTTTCTCATTTATTTTATTTTATTTGTTAGTATTATTGTTGTTTCGCATTCAAGCTATTGTATTATAAAAAATTTTAATAAATTGTATATATATTTTATAGTATTATTATTATTATTCATTGTTAAAGTTGTTTGACTTTTTAAAGAAATGCATTCAACTTTTTTTCATAAATATTTTTATTATTATTTTCTTAATTTAATTTAAATATTTTAGTAGTTCGTCTCCAAAATAATAAAACATATTATTATTTGACATTAATGTGTGATTCACACAGACAAAAGAAAATTGTGATCAAACATGAAATATAATTTTTTTAAAAATATATAAATTAAATTTTAACTATATTTGACGTAAATAATGTTGGCGTATGTTTTATAATTTGCAAATTTTAATTTATCATTGCTTATGAATTAGCAATTTTAATGACAAATAGCAATTGGGCAGTACCTCTCTCTCTCTCTCTCTCTCTCTCTCTCTCTTAAAAAACAATATATAATATAAAATAATAATAATAATTTTATTATATGATGACAATAATTAGTAGATTATTTAGATAGTTAAGCAACAAATATTTCCTTAATAATAAAATTTAAAAATTTCCAACAATTTTTTTTTGTATTGTAATGGTTAATAATAAGCAATGAGTATTTTATTTTTTTAAAAAATGATAGCAATTTTTTCTAGACATTAGCTAGCAAAATATATGTTCTCGAAATTTCATAGAATTATACACAAATTTAGATAATTTTTAAGAAAATTAATATAAGACTATTTTTTAAATAAATATTTGAAATTTTTAATACTTAATGATGATTTAGTAAAATAACATAAGATTAAAAAAATGTAATCTTAAATAAAAAATTTAATATTATTGTTATTTGTTAAAAAAAATTACCTAACATAACATTTTTCAATTACCTGTAATCTATAATTTATATCTAGTTTTCGTATTATTTGTCTAATTGTCAAAATAATTTCCGACAAATCATTTACATAAACTATTGTTAGGCTATATATCTTACTGTCAAATAATATTATTATTATATACTCTTTTTATTTGTCATTTATATTAAGCAATCAACAAAAAAAATTAATCTGTATTTTAGATAATCTTTTAAAAAGCATTTAACCATAATATCAGTGACTTTCATGAAATTTGCAATTTTGTTATAAATTAACTGATAAATCAAACACAACAAGGACTTAAAAAACTTTATATTAAATTCAAGGATAAACAATTGTTTCACTAATATTTTTTAAATAATAATAATTATTATTATAATTTATAACTTATAATCTAATTATTGTATCGCAAATTGTATTTGAGTAATTAAAGTCAATTGTCGTGCAATACAAATCATATGCAAATATACATAATAAATATATATAACTTATATATTTTTTTAATATAAATATTTATTTTAATTTATTATCATAAAAATAGATAATTATTAAATCGTGTAATGATAATAATTAGTCGAAAAAAAATCCATTTAAGTAAATATATATATATATATATAGATAGATAAACATGTAATTAAAAATAGCTTAAATTTTATAATACAAAGTCTAATTTTTAAAAAATAAAATAGTAATTAAAAAAATTCAAGTATTAGTCCCTAAGATAGCGCCGTTGGTTTGCGCTTAACTCCAAACATCGGCCGAATACCTGCGCTGTGACTCCATTTTCTTTAGATAACTTTCGGCTTCGGCGCGACTTTTGTTGTCTTCAGTCATAATAGTCTCAATGATAATCTCTTTCACCTCTCGGGCCATATTTCGGGCATCACTGAGAAATGCAAAAAAAATAAATATTAATTTCAATTAAATATACAAATCATTGCAATTGATGATAATATCGGTAATTATAATAATAATAAATACCCGCAGATATAGATGTGTCCATTTTGTTGGCCAATTATATTCCACGTCTCTTTCATATTCTGTTTGAGCAGATGTGTGACATAGACTTTGTGTTCCTGATCTCGACTGAAGGCACAGTAAAGTTTGGTCAGAGTTTTGTCCTCGACATAGGCCTTCAGTTCATCGCCATAAAGATAATCTTCAGATTGTTTACGACAACCAAAATACAAAATGGTATCACCAGTAGGTTTGCCACTTTTCATTATATGCTGACGTTCCTGAATGAAACCTCTGAACGGCGCCAAACCAGTTCCCGGTCCTATCATAATGACCGGTGTTTGCGGTTTAGCCGGCAATCGGAATTGTGAGCGACGAATAAAACAGGGAACCAACACTTTGTGACCATTATTGCTCGGCTCTTTAGATTTAAGCCAATTGGTGGCAACACCTTTTGTCACCCGACCGGTTCCAGTTTCATATTCAACGACAACAGCTGTAATGTGAACCGAATTGTTATAGAGTTTAGGCGACGATGAGATTGAATAGTATCGCGGCTGAAGACGTGGCAATAATTCAAGCAAATGATCCAACGGTGGCTTAATTGACGGCAAGTCTTCCAGTATGTGAACAATACTGCGACAGTTCTTAATAACCCAATCATTATACAGTTGTCTGCCCTCTTCGGTCGATGAACTCAATAACTTCAGGAAAGTCTTGTGTTCTTCATTAGTGGAGTAATCAGATATTTCTTTCAGCACATGAGTCCTCGGAATACTAGTAATATCTGTATAAAATTGTAGTGCCGTTCGATAGGATGTAGGACAAGGAAACGGGTGTTTTTTCGAACTGTCCTCATCCATGTTTTTCAATGAGATAATTGTATCCAAATTGATATCCAATAGTTCACCGATTTTATTTACAAGCGAAGTATCATTCTTGGGATAGACAGCCACATGATCTCCGGCTTCATATCTAATGGTAAACACAACAAAAAATAGTAAAACATTTTTTAATTGTAAACATTAAAAAACAATTTACCTCAGCTTAGAGTTGGTTAGGTCTAACTCAATGTGAAGGCACGAGCGGTCACTTTTGTATAGTTCTCGGTTAACCGAAACGGGAGCCAAAAATGGATTTTTCTGGTCAAACGGCCTAAACAATTGCAAATAATAAAAAAATAATATAACTTTTTTATACACACTGTTTCAAAGTATTAAAAATATCTCTTTAAAAACAAATCTTACGCTTTTTGATTGGCATAAGAGTTAAGTCGAGTAACTTCTCCTCTGAATACTTTGTCTTCAGCCAAATCTTCAGTATTGTGAACAATAAGCTCATACTGTCGGCTACTAACTTCTTCACCAGTCTGTAGATCATACTGTTCGCAAACTGATGCCCAGAATTTTTCTTTCCAAGTAATAAAATCTTCTTCAATACTATTGTTTTTATTATTAATAAATTGATTAAAAATAAATCAAATATTTCTGAATCATTAAACAAAAAACATACTTTGCATCGTCGTCTCCCATTCCCAACTCATAGACACGGGTAGCGCCAAGCTCTTCAAGTCGGACATCCAGGTATTGACCCATTTTGTTGTAGTGTTCATAGGTTTTGTTACCCAAAGCAAACACCTGTATATATGCAAACAAATTCAACAAAAAAATTTAAAAGTTAAATAAACAGACACTTCATTTAATTTAATGATTGACATGAAATAGAAATAATAGTTTACCGCATATTTCAAACCCGTCAGATCTGCGCCACCGTTTTGAAGCCATTCGTAAAACTCTTGTGCATTATCGGTGGGATCTCCTTCGCCGTAAGTGGCCATACAGAATATGGCCAAATGGTTCTCAATTTCGACAATCTTACCCAACTCTTCCATATCGCATTCTTCCGGATCGGCAACCATTGCTTTCATACTGTAACGAGAAGCCTCTTTAGCCAATCGGGCGGCAAACTCTTCAGCTGTTCCAGTTTGAGATCCATAAAAAACGACTACATTTCGGCCGCCGGACTTCATTTTGGCTATAAATCCAGATTCCGATACACTTCGGGTTAATGTTGGCTCAATTGAAAACGTTTTGATAGACGAGGTATCAAATTCTGATTTTTTATTTTTGTTTCGATAAAATAGCCAATAATATGAGGCCAAACCCAATAGACTTAATATAATTAAATAGTCGACTGCACTCAGATAGCCCGGAGCCGTAGGTTCTTCAGTAGGAATCGCATCCATTTTTTTTATATAGGTTTATAAATTACTTTTTTTAAATATTATTTAAATCAACAAATTAACTGTAATGGGGATAAAAAAAATATAATATAATTTCATTAGTTTTTTTCCAAAGTTTAAATGACTAAACAATTTTTTTTTTAATAATTTTGTGTTTGAGTGAAAAAAAATAGTTTCAGATTTTTCGGCTTAAAATTATATCAAAAAATCTAAAAATTCAAGTGAAAGTTGACGGAAACAAACCGTATTTTTTAAAAAAATTATTTGAATAATAATAATATAATTAATAATTTCCTCAATAGAGTGGCTAATATATATTATATATACAGTATATAAACTATATTTATATTTGAATGAACAGTAAACAAAAAATATTTATAAAAATTTGACAAAACTTTTTTGTTTTAAAATTTTTAAAACGGATATAAATCTATTAATTGAAGTGAACCACAAAAAAATTAGAGATAAATATATTTTAGTGATAACAAAAATTATTTTTATACATATACAGTATATATATATATATGTTACTTAAATATGTGGCAATTAATAAAATGCAATTAAATATAGGATTAATAATCAAAGTCTATTACTACAGCACCACCACAACTACACACACAAGTTGTAGACTTAAAATGTAAATGTTTTTAATATTAAAAAATTTATATTAAATATATATCATATACTGTACTACAATTAAGTATATGCTGTAATGTCTAATGTTAATATTTTTTTTTGCTTGAAATGCTGACTAAATATTATCATTAAGCCTATGGGAAACATTACCGCAATGTGTTGTTGATGTCAGCCTTGAATAGCTAATCAAAACGATTATTATTATTATTATTATTATTATATTTGATCAAAAAGTTAGCATTCATTCAAATTCAAGTACACATTATTGCTGTTATATTGCAATTAACAGCTAAATCAATGGCAAAATGGCTTTCAATATTAAAAAATCGTTGTCTGTTTTATATTATTATTATTATTATTATTATATTATGATTTATACATGTATTTAATATCAATTTTTATTGAAAATCATTTAATATATATAGAGTATATTTCTTAATAAAATAACAATCATATTATGATATATACTGCAGTATATATGCATGCATATCATATTTAATATGATAGCAAATATGATATACAATTATATATGATATTGCATTACACAATATACAAGTTATATCAAAATCATGTGATTAGTTAATAAATAATATAAACTAAATTAATAGTTACTTAATAATTAAAAAATATTATGTATAGATATACTTATTATATATATAAATAATATGCATTAACAAAATTTGCAATAAATTTGCAATAAAAAATGTCACATTTATAAATTTGACACAATTATAATGCATATAAATAATAATATGTAAACAAATAGTTTTTTAAATAATAATAAAAAAACTTACCGAAAAAAACCAAAAACAACCGATGATTTCAAATGAATATTTTGTGACCAAAAAAAACTATATATGAATTTTGTTTATAAGTTATAATAAAAATAAAAAAAACAACTAATTTACTTAACAATCAAAGTAGTATACTAAGCATAATAACAATTGTAAATATATAATAATGTTTTAAACTATTTAAAACAAAAATTTGTTAAAAAAAATGATTTTTCTATTAAATTAAATAAAAGTGATTATAAAACAACACACAAACACATATAGTGTTTAGTATTTATTATTGTTATTATTGTGTTGTGTTATGTTGTGTGTCATAAACAGTACTGAATTGAATTGAGAGTCACTTTAATAACTAATACCTTTTAAAAACAACGTTTAAGGACTCAAATACTTTATACACATTTGTCTAACGCATCGATAGATTTTGACTCGTGATTTGCTATAGCATTACATCACTTGATCGACAATACTGTTGTATAAATAGTGAATAACTTTTTTTTTTGTGTTTTGAACCATAATTTACGACAATATATTCTATAGACTAATAGTATTATAGGGTTCTAGAAAATTGATGACAAAATTGATGATAGCATTGAAATATAATTAAATTATTTTTTTTAAATTTATTATGATATCATAATTATCATAAATTTCAACAGCAAATCAAAACTACAAATAATTTTGTTGTACACATTGTACTAAACTGTACTGATTATTAGTACAGTGTGTTTAACTTTAAATTTATATAAACAACTTTTTTTTCTCTATGTGTTATAATTATAATGTACAGTACATTATGTACTACTACTGAATGTTAAACTATTAAAAAGTTTTTTAATGATGTTTTTTTAAAAAAATTTTTAAGTACATTGAGTACAAGTTATTATTTTTCTGCATAGTCCCCAATGCACCCAAAAATAAATAATTATCATAAATAAAACTTATTTGTTTGGGACAAATAACATGATAAACGGTCGGCTAATATTAAAGCTGAGTTTTGCACGGTTTAAATGTTTTATTATTAATATATATATATTTGTAAAAAACAAATAAATATTGTATTTCAAGTATAGTTTGCAATAAATAAATAAATAAAGTGTGCAATTTATATTGTTGATTTTATTTGTTAATCATATGCAAAATAGTTATATAATTTTTATATATAAATAGGTATATTCAATACCTTTTAATTAATTTTTATGATATTTACTGATTTAAAAAAAAAAAATCGGTTATTTATGGGTTTCGGTTTGGTTTACGAGAGAAACAAAACATAAAAATGATACTAATATTTAGTATCGGTTTTCAAATCATTAAATTAAAAAAAAAATCTTATCTATTTAAACACATATTTTGAATATTTGTGATTTTCATAACTAATCGATACAACAAAAAAAGTTATGTTAAAATGATTGTCTTATACTACATAAAAAAAACTTGTTAATCATTTAGTGACTTAAAAAAAATTATTATTTTTATAGTTTTTTATGTATGTGTAAAACTTGTGATAAAGTTATTTTGTGTGGAAAAAAAACATAATCACTAATGTATAATGAGTTTATATACCTGCATAAAATATAATTATTTAAAAATTAACATGTTTATTAATCAATTTTTTTTAAATTTTAAACAAAATATGATTGAAATATAAATATTGTTTAATTAATTTATTTCAATATTTGAATTTTATCATTTACTGTATAAATTCATGTTTCTTTAATATATATATTTTTTTTAAATAAGAATATTAATTAAATTAACTTTTAAATAATAAAAGTTTTTTTATTGTAATTTTTGATATACATGTTTGAAAATTAATTAATTTAATTAAAACAATACAATCATTTGTGTGTGTGTGTGTGTGTGTGTGTGTGTGTGTGTATTTTGATATAAAATTTCAATCAGTAGAAACATATTTGCAATTAATAAAAATTCAATGCATTATAAATTATAAAATATAATGTTAACTAATTTAAAAAAAATAAATATTTTAAAGTATTTTTACTTTTAAATACTGACATATGTATTGTCAAAATGATATTAACTGTAAATTTTTGCTGTTATTAATAAATTTATATACGTATGACGTGTACTTTAAAAAATAAAATATACATTACATTACATTGCAGTCAATACAGTAGTAGTTAAATATCAATAGTAATGTAATACTAAACAGTAATATTCATAACAATAACAGTATTATTGTATAAAAATATAAACAAAAAATAAACACTTTTTTATTGAAATCTATTTATTTATTTGTATTTTATTTTGTATTTTTTGTTTGTTTTATTAAATGATTGACAGTTTATTATTTGATGGCATTAACAGCAAATGCATTGATATTTTTGCCGATAATTGTTTTGTTAAGATATTTCTATGTAAACAGTGGTCAAAATGTTGTTAAAGCCATGAACTGGAGCACAAAAGAGTGGACAACTAGTGGCCGATTGTTGGTCGACGACGAAGTAATACGATTGTCTCGCCGATCGGCCGAAGATCATCAATGGTTTAACCAGACATTGGACCGAATTCTGGTGCCACGTGTGTCGGACACCGAATCGATACGTGTGGTCGGCAAACATATTGCCGATACTATGCGCTCACTGGACTGGACAGTCGAGTTGGACACGTTTACCGATCAGACACCGCACGGTCCGAAAAGATTTACCAACATATTGGCCACATTGGATCCGAAAGCCTGCCGCCGACTCGTACTCAGCTGTCATTACGATTCAAAGTTGTCCGCAAGCGGCCGTTTTGTCGGTGCCATCGACTCGGCCGTTCCCTGTGCTATGATGTTAGACATTGCAAAAAGTTTAGACCGATATCTTAAAGCACACCGACATTCGGTAATTATTATACGATTTTTGTTTTTGTCGGCAAAAAATTTTCACATTTCATGAAAGATATATTCAAATATACTTTTATTTTGCCAATTGATTTGCAACAAACACATAGTCTGTAAGTCATACAACAATTCAGATGATATTCTTCGACGGCGAAGAAGCGTTTGTCGAATGGACTGATAAGGATTCGCTGTACGGATCGCGACATTTGGCCAATACTATGAATAGCAAGAAATTTTTGACGACTCGTGAAGAAAGCCAAAAGTGCGGCCATTTGACTGACATGGACTCGGAAATAGATCGCATCGAAGTAATGGTATTATTGGATCTGTTGGGCGCCAAGAATCCCACTTTTTACAGCCATTTTAGCGATACTCAGTCGCTGTACTCGAGAATTATCAAAATTGAACGAAAGCTCAACGATTTGAAACTAATGGAAAGCAGTCGCCGAACCAATTACTTCCAGACTTCCCGATCCTTCTACGGTGGCATCGATGACGATCACCGGCCATTTCAAGAGCGAGGTGTTCCCATATTGCATATAATTGCCACACCGTTTCCCAGTGTATGGCATAAAGATTCGGATAATAAGAAAAATATAGACAATCCTACTGTTAATAATTTGTTGAAAATATTTAAAATATTTGTCGCACAATATCTGAATTTAGATTTAGATAAACATTGATAACAATAATTATTAATAAATGATTTTTTAAATATATTATATATATATATAGTACATATTGTATACAAAATAATTTTGTAAAGTATTTAAAAATTTATTTATAAAACATTTTTATTTGTGTAAATTATTGTATAAATACTCTCTAATTATTTTTTATGCAATATAATTATTAATTTTATATTAAACTGATTATTTTATATTTATTATTGAACAAAAAAAAGTGAACTAAATGTTTACAATTTAGGTAAATTGATTAAATATATTGAATTATGTGGTAATTTCTTTGTAATTTAAAAATTATTTAATATTTTTCATAAGATTAAATCACATGCAATATCACAAGAGTAATTAAATTTATCAATAATTAAATGTTTAGAAATTAGTATACATTAGTAATCAATTATCAGCAATCATGTGATAGACACTAATAGCATGATAGAAGAAAATTTTGAAATTAGATATTAGTATTTATATTATGATAATTAATAATATAATTATATAAAAAAAAAGTTTTTTTTTATTATCAATAATAGAGAAGAACTGTTATATGCTTTAGTTTAAATTACTTGTCTAAACGTTATCTTTAAATTTATTTTTAAAAAATATTTATAACAAATTACAAATACTAGTTATAACTTGAATATAAATAACATTTACCTTAAAATACATGCATTTTTATGTTTCACGTAATTATTTAAAAAAAAAAGATATGAAACATCAAATTTTCTAAACAGTAGCAAATAAATCACTAATTTGGTGCTATGATTGTTAAAAAGTAACACCTGATCCCATACTATATATTGTTGAAGTAATTTAGACCTTAGTTGTCATTATCTCAGTTACACTAATGAGAGAGAGAGAGAGAGAGAGAGAGAGAGAGAGAGAGAGAGAGAGAGARAGAGAGAGAGAGAGAGAGAGAGAGAGAGAGAGGAAAGTTACCTTAGCTTAGATAAATTAAACTAAAGTTTTTATTATTTTGAGAAATTATGACCAAAAAAAGTAAGAAACAAATTAACAAATTAATATATATTTTAAAAATAAAATTATAACTTTAAATCATTTAAGAGTTTTTCAGAAAAAAAATCTATTAAACAACACACGTGTGAAAACATTTATACCATTAATTCCGCGGTTGAATGTTTTTAGGACAATAGTATAATATAGTGTATATACAGTATAAATCAATTATACAATCAAAAGACCAAATTTCACAAAACGGTAGTGAAAACTACCGGTTATTATATAAATAGTTATCCTGATTACTGGATATACCATACGTTTAACAACAAAAAACAAAAAAGTTAACAAATTAGCTAATTTTAGATACACATTGCAAATGAACAATTGATTTGTGACTTATTTATTATTAGTTAATAAAAAAAATAATAAAAAAAGTTTATTATATTAAATTAAATAAGTTGTAAATATATATCGATATTAGAAGTTATAATAAAAAACATTTTGTTTTAGAAATCATAGTTTAGAAATCTCTATACAATTATTGAAATATTCGAGAGATTCTGGGTTTGCGATGGCGTTCCTATTGGTCACCTCTTTGCCGGCGATTATCCTTTTGATGGCCACTTCAATCTTCTTACCATTTATTGTATACTTTATTTAATTCGAATTAAACACATTAAAAAATATTGTAGTAATAGATATATATAATTATATTTATTGAAATTAATGTCAATACATACAGGAATGTCAGTTACTTGAAGAATCACAGCCGGAATATGTCGGGGAGACAACCGATTCCTGATTTCGGTCCGAATTTTGTCGACAATTGTTTTATTAAAATCAAAGTCGGCTTTCATTTTAACAAATAGTACGACTCGTTCTTCATTTTTATCGTTATATTGCGATACACAGACACTGTCGTCGATTTCATCAATTGTATCGATTATATTGTAAATCTCTGAACTCCCAAATCGGATGCCATTGGGATTCAATGTGCCGTCGCTTCGACCCAACATTTGGATGCCGTTTGTGTTGCCATTGATTAGACAGAAATCTCCGTGAGTCCAAACACCTATTCATTTATAACATTAATGTTAATAATAATAAAACCATAGTATAAATCACTTTTAAGTAAAATTCATATTTAAATATATATTAAAAAACCTTTAAATTGAGAGAAGTATGCATTTCTGTATTTGTTACCCTTGGGGTCGTTCCATAACATAGTGGGCATCGATGGGAACGGCTTTACACATACCAGTTCTCCTTTTTGGTTGATTACGTTAGTGCCTAAAAACCAACAACAAGTTGTCAATAATTTTAAACCTATATTAAATTTTGCAATTATAGTAAACTAAGTCAACCATTATGATCCCAACACTCGACAGCCATTCCTAGATTACGCGCCTGTATTTCACCCGAATGGACACCGATTGTAGGATTCTGTCCCGCAAAACATGATATTATATCCGAACCGCCGGATATTGATCCCAACAATATATCTGTCTTAATCGATGTGTACACATATTCAAATAGTTTGTCATTTAGTGGCGCACCGGTAGATAGGATGGTATGCAGTCTTTCCAAATGATGCGATTCTCTTGGTTTGAGACCTAACTCCTGCATTGTTTGTAGTCCTTTAGGACTGGCACCCAAAATGGTGACACCAATCTTGTCAATTACATCCCATAGTGAGGTAGAGGTAGGTTTGAATGGTGATCCATCTAATCGATAATAATTTAAGAATATATTTATTATTTAATGTTTTAATAGCAAGATTTTACCCCATATATCTAAATCAATTTGTTACCATAGACTACAATTGCTGATCCGGCGGCCAGTGCTGAGACCATCCAGTTCCACATCATCCAACCAGTCTATTATTTAATAAATTAATTATAAAAACTTATAACTTCTTTTTAACTTATACTACAATTAGCTTACAGTAGTATAGAAAAGCATTGTATCATTTGAGCCGACATTTCCGTGCAATATATGCTCTTTTAAGTGTTGTATTAATGTTCCCTTTAATTAATAAATACCGATAAATGTCAATCAATTTGAAAAACAATAAATTTATTAAAACCAAAAATCTTACGCCAACTGAATGGACCAAACTTTTGGGTTCGCCAGTAGTTCCCGAACTGAAGAGTATACACAACGGATGATTAAACGGCGCATCAAAATACGTGATTGACTTTTGGTGATCGCCTTCGGCTAAGAATTGGTCATAAGTCTGACATTTGATTGTTTTCATAAAATTATTCAACTGATTGTTATTGTTGTTGTTGTCCAGTGATATGATAACTCTTTCAATGGAGTCAAGCGATGACATGAGTTGCGATAGTTTATCCAAATGATTGTGTCGTTTGCCGTTATAGACAAAAGAGTCGACGGAAAACAAAAGTTTTGGATTAATTTGTCGTAACCTTTCGAGAACTCCCTATTTATTTAGTTAATTAAATATATGTAAAAAAAAGTTATAATTATTTATTATTGAAGTGTCAGATAATTTACCGAAATGCCGAAATCAGGTGACGTCGAGCTCCAAATGGCACCGATGGCTGCAGTGGCCAGAAATGCTTCAACAGCTTCTCTACCATTTGGCAAATAACCTATAAATATGTTTATCAAATAAAATAAAATATTGTCTTTCAATTGATAATTTCAATAACAATACCGACAACTCTATCGCCAGCAGTTATGCCGTACTTTCTCATTGCCGACACTAATGATGCCACCCGTGACTTCAAATTGCCGAAAGTCACTCTCTCGATGTACGTCCGACTTTCGGCGATCACAAAAAGTGCCGCTTTATTTAGATCACTATTTTCCGATTTTTCCAACACATTTTGGGCATAATTTAGTTTAGCGCCGCTAAACCATTCGGGTATCTCATCGATAGTCTTAGTCTTATCGACCACTGTTTCGTATGGATTGGTGTATATAATATCCGAAAAGATTGAAAACTGTTCCCAAAAGTCGGCATAATTATCGACAGACCATTGATAAAGATCCCAATAGGAGCTCAATTGTAGCTCAAACTTCTCATTAATGGTATTACGGAAGATATCCATTTTGGTCGTACCAAACATACCGGGGCTCCACATTAACTTTGGATATAATTCACCGTTAGTTGAATTCATTATTTTACTGCTAATTAAATATTGATTTTATTAAAAATTTTATAATTAGCTTAGAAGCTGTCAATAATGATTATGGCACTGGTAAGTATTACAAAATTAGTCTAGGTACAATAATTATTATATTAGTGTAGACATTTAAATTTAAAAATTTTATTTTAAGTGTCACTAATGGACATAATCACAGTATTGTAAACATAGTTTAAAATATTATAAATTTATATAAAAAACTATTAAATATTGATTTATTAATAACAAAATTATTTTTATTATATTTTTTAAAAATTTTAATATAACTCTTTCAATTAATAATAAGTGGCATCGCTTTAAATCTAATGTATTTATTAACATAGTTTTTTTTAAAGACAACACTATTTTCTTTTTAAAAAAACTACTAATAAGTTTTGATGTTTATTTAATGAGTTCTCAAATATTTTTTTAAGTGAATTTTTTTTATCTATATCTTTATTTATCAATAAATTTAAATTTTTAAAAATATAGATAAATTACATTTATTACACACTATTATCTTAATTTAAATCATATCTGCATACTATTTGCATATTTAAAATTATATATAAATAATTATAATAATGAATTATTATGATATAAATATTAAACATTATAAATGTCTATATGATATTAATATCTTTAAAAAAAATTAAAACAATATAAATTAATAGCCTAATATTACTTTATTTTATTTCTACAAATATAAATAAATAAATAAAATTTTATGCTTATGTATTTTTTAACACAGTTAGTAAAAAATGTGTTTAAAACAAAATTATTGAGTTTTTAATGTATATTTCATACTAATATTTTTTAATCGATATAAATTATTTTCGTATAATTGATAAAATAGTTACTACTAGTATATTATATTTATATAATTATAAAAGTTTACCGGTAATACTAGGCTAATAAAATATACTAAACAGTATAGATTTTATATAAATATTTGTATTTAGAAATTTAATATTTATATAATTACCAGCAAATAAAGTACATAACTTTAGGCATAATAAATATTTTTTATTGATAATGTATTTGCTATTTAACATAAAACATAATAATAATAAATTTAAGGCTAAATAATAATATATTAAAAAATTACAAACCATTCACATGTATTTGTCATACAGACTAAAAACTATAAACTAAAAAAATATTATTAAAAATCATTTTTAAAAAATAATGTTAAAAAATATATATAAATCAATTCTGATTTATCTTCCGATTATCGACGGGTGAAAACAGTCGGGAATCATCCGGTAAACCACTACTCTGTGCGATGTAATGACAAGTACTGATGTCTATCATCTGAAACGAGTAGTCATTGATAAACGATTGTCACATCCGATAGACAGAACTACTATTGTCATCCTTAAGACTGACGACATCATTCTTCTTCTTGCAATTGATGGAAATAGTTGTCAACTTTTCCACAAAATTCTTCGTTTAGTCTTAAATTCGTTCAAATTTTTAAGACTAACCGAAGAATTTTGTGGAAAAGTTGACAACTATTTCCATCACTTGCAAGAAGAAGAAGAAGAAGAAGACCAGAAGAATGCTGTCATCAGTATTATAAAAATGTATTGTAAAAATTGAATTATTTTTTTTAAAAAAAGTGTCTGTTTTGTGTTTAAATGTGTTTAAAATTTAAATTACTTGTCTAAATGTTATCTTAAAATTAAACACAAAAAAGACTATCTAAAACAAAATATAGTACATAAACAGTGTAGATTATAGTACTATTAATAGTTATAATTTAAATATAAATAACATTTTTTTAAAAATATATGAAACACATAAATTTACTGTAAATTATAATTAAAAATAAGCAAAACATCAAACTTTCTATAATAAAACTTTTTTAGGTAAACTGTTGCAAATATATCACTAATTTGTTGCTATGATTGTAAACATAACACCCGATGATCCGACACTACATTTGTTAAACTAATTGAAAAATGTTGAGATTATTAGTTATAAATAGTTACTCTGATTACTGGAGCCATACTTTTAATTAACCCATTTTTAAATGTTATGGCTAATTGTCAATTGAATTGTGAATTATTTATTATTAGTTAATAGAAAAATTAAAAAATTTTATTATTTTAAATTATAAATATATAAGTTGCAAAAATATATAAATATATATTATTAAAAAAAATTAGATTAAAACTATTTGTTTTAAAAATCAGTGATCTCTTTGATATTCTTAAAGTATTCGAGACATTCTGGGTTTGCGATGGCGTTCCTATTGGTTACCTCTTTGCCAGCGATTATCATTTTGATGGCCACTTCAATCTTCTTACCATTTATTGTATACTTCATTTAAGTTGATAAAACATTTTGAAAAAATATTGTAGTAATATATATATAATTATATTAATTGAAATTAATGTCAATACATACAGGAATATCTTTTACTTGAAGAATCACAGCCGGAATATGTCGGGGAGACAACCGATTCCTGATTTCGATCCGAATTTTGTCGACAATTGTTTTATTAAAATCAAAATCGTCTTTCATTTTGACAAATAGTACGACTCGTTCTTCATTTTTATGGTTATATTGCGATACACAGACACTGTCGTCGATTTCATCAATTGTATCGATTATATTGTAAATCTCTGAACTACCAAATCGGACGCCATTGGGATTCAATGTACCGTCGCTTCGGCCCAACATTTGGATGCCGTTTGTATTGCCATTGATTAGACAGAAATCTCCGTGAGTCCAAACACCTATTCATTTATAAAATGATAATAATAATAAAATCTTAGTATAAATCACTTATAAGTAAAATTCATATTTAAATTTATATAAAAAAACCTTTAAAATGAGAGAAGTATGCATTTCTATATTTGTCACCCTTGGGGTCATTCCAAAACATGGTGGGCATCGATGGGAATGGCTTTACACATACCAGTTCTCCCTTTTGGTTTTTTACTTTAGTGCCTGAAACCAACCATTAATAAGCTGTCAGTAATTTCAAACTTATAGTCAATAACTGTACCAACCATTATGATCCCAACACTGGACAGCCATTCCTAGATTACGCGCCTGTATTTCACCTGAATAGACACCGATTGTTGGATTCTGTCCCGCAAAACATGATATTATATCCGATCCGCCGGATATTGAGCCCAACAATATATTTGACTTAATCGATGTGTACACGTATTCAAATAGTTTGTCACTTAGTGGCGCACCGGTAGATAGGATGGTATGCAGTCTTTCCAAACGATGGGATTCTCTTGGCTTGAGACCTAACTCCTGCATTGTTTGTAGTCCTTTAGGACTGGTGCCCAAAATAGTGACACCAATCTTGTCAATTACATCCCATAGTGAAGTTGAGGTAGGTTTGAATGGTGATCCATCTAATCGATAATAATTTAGGAATATATTTATTATTTAATGTTTTTAATAACAAGATTTTACCCCATATATCTAAATCAATTTGTTACCATAGACTACTAGTGCTGAACCGGCGGCCAGTGCTGAGACCATCCAGTTCCACATCATCCAACCAGTCTATATTTAATTTTTAAAAATTAAATTAATAACTTTACTAATTATAATACAATTAGCTTACAGTCGTATAGAAAAGCATTGTATCATTTGAGCCGACATTCCCGTGCAATATATGCTCTTTTAAGTGTTGTATTAATGTTCCCTTTAATTAATAAATTAATGTCAATTTTTTTGCTATTAACGGTAGTTTAAAAAAAAAAACTATAAGTTATATAACTTACGCCAACTGAATGAACCAAACACTTGGGTTCGCCAGTAGTTCCCGAACTGAAGAGTATACACAACGGATGATTGAACGGCGCATCAAAATAAGTGATTGACTTTTGGTGATCGCCTTCGGCTAAGAATTGATCATAAGTCTGACATTTGATTGTTTTCATGAAATCATTCAACTGATTGTTATTGTTGTTGTCATCCGGTGTTTTCAGTGGAGAAATGATTACTCTTTCAATTGAGTCTAACGATGACATGAGTTGCGATAATTTGTCCAAATGATTGTGTCGTTTGCCATTATAGACAACAGAGTCGACGGAAAACAAAATTTTTGGCTTTATTTGTCGTAATCTTTCGAGAACTCCCTATTTATTAATTTTAATATTGTTTTTATATTTAATTTTAAAAAATGAATATTAAATAAAAATGTTAAATAATTACCGAAATACCAAAATCGGGTGACGTTGAACTCCAAATGGCACCGATAGCCGAAGTGGCCAAAAATGCTTCGATAGCTTCCCTGCCATTTGGTAAATAACCTGCAAATATGTTTATTTAACAAATAAATTTATATTTCAATTGCAATTACCGACAACTCTATCGCCAGCACTGATGCCGTACTTTCTCATTGCCGACACTAATGACGTCACCCGTGACTTCAAATCACCGAAAGTCACTCTTTCAATATGCGTCTGACTCTCGGAGATCACAAACACTGCCGCTTTGTTTGGATCACTATTTTCCGGTTTTTCCAACACATTTTGGGCATAATTTAGTTTAGCGCCGCTAAACCATTCGGGTAACTCATCGATAGTCTTACTCTTGTCGACCACAGTTTCATAAGGACTCGTATATATAATATCCGAAAAGTTTGAAAATTGTTCCCAAAAGTCGGCATAATTATCGACAGACCATTGATAAAGATCCGAATAAGAGCTCAATTCGAGATCAAACTTCTCGTTAATAATATTACGGAAGACATCCATTTTGGTCGTACCAAACATACCGGGGCTCCACATCAACTTTGGATCCATTTCACCGTTACTTGAATTCATTATTTTACTGATAATTGAAAATTGATTTTATTAAAACTTTCAATTTTATAATTAATCTTTTTTTAATTCTAAATTTATGGTCTATTATAAAAAGTTAACTAGCTAATATTAGTGTAGACATACTAACATTTAAAAAATTAAATATATTTTTTAAAAATCTATTATAATTGACAAAAAAAACTTTGTTTACAATACTAAAAAATTTTGTAATGATTTAATATATTAAATAAGACATATAACTCACATATTTAGTAAATTATTAATTAGACTATTGATACTCATTTTTAAACTTTAATTTATAACAAATTATATTTTTATTTAAATATATTATTAACACTTTCACTCTATGATAATTTGCATCGATTAAAATGTGGTGTATTTTATATATTAAATATTTCAAAAATTACAATACATTAACAAACAAATACTTTTTCAAAATACAATTATATTTCCTTAAAAACTACTAAAGTTTTAGTATTTATTTAACAAGTTCTCCAATATTTTATAAGTGGATTTTTTCTCTATTTATTTATCAATATATTAATAATTTATTTTTAAAAAATAGATAAATTATATGTATTAGACACTAATATCTTAAGTTAAAAAATTATAGTACACTAGTATGAATCAAACTATTTAATATTTACCAAATAATTGACATTGATAATTACATCATGTAAGAAATTATATACAAAATAAATATCTTATTAAAAGTTATTATAAAAATTAAAATTATTATTAAAGTTTTGTCATTAAAAAAATTATAAAATTATTTTTTATTTAAACGTCACACACACACACACACACACGGAATATCCCATTTGGTTTTTATTGTTTTAATAATGTCCTTGAATATTAATTAATAATTAGAGTACAATATTAATATATAAGTTATTTTATATTTCCGATATACAGTAAACTATAGACTAGGTTTTTATATACAGTTATATAATTTTTTTATAAAAAATAATTTTCCTTATAATATACCCTAAAAATCTGCATTTATATTTAATATCATTAATTATACAAATAATTAATATTGTTATTAATTTTTCATTTTATTATTATTATTATTAGTATAAATGACTTTAAATGTATTTAGTTTTTATTAGTAATAAAAATAATCAATTGATTAGTAACAAAAAAAAATTGCTATGACTTAACAGTTATTCAAGAATATCAAGGTTTGACAGTCGTCTAGAATTACAGTAGTTATCAATAATTTAATTTTTATATTATAGATATAATGTACTATAATATAATACTTTATTTGATATAAAATACTGTATTTAATAATTTTTTAATTGAAAAAATGTGGTAAACATGTCAATTTTTTGTCAACCTAATAATTTTTCTAATCATCATGGTGATTGTCAAGGCTAAAACTTTATTATAATTTTTAAATAATTACCTAAAAAAACTTTATTTTAAAAACTAATTTTAAAGTTAAATATATATATATATATATATATAATATAATCTTGACAATTTATTACTTTAAATTTATAAGTCAAATTTGCTAGATCATTGCAAAAATAAAAAGTTTTACCATAACAATTTATTGAATTATTATTAGACAAAATTAAAACTGCAGTATTATTATGAAAAAAATCAATTTAAATATTTTATTTAATTAATTATTAACTTATTGTATGATTCTTAATTAGAAAACTTTTTTTAGATTTTTATTTAATTTTACTAAATTTATTACTAATAATAATAATAATAATACAGACCATTAAAATAATAAAATATAAAATTTTCAAATCAAGCGCTGATATTGAGATCAATTTGCAATTTAGAAATGTTATGTATCGAGAAATTTAGTGATAATAATAATAATAAATATTTAATGAAAAAACTCTTCAAAATTATTAATAATTTGATGCAACGTTTCAATAGCTTTATTCATACAAAATAAACAAACTTTTATTTTATAGATACCTTTATATTGATATTATTCACAGTTAATGTAATGGATAATGAATAGCATTGAAAACACTGTATTAAAAACAGTATTCAATCGTACGATACACTACTAGTCGTCTCATATTTACTGAACACATCATAAATACATTTTGATAACACTTTTGAAATTTATGCACAAAACTTGAAACATACACTACTTTTCTAACTTACATTTTATATGATATGTATATATAAAAAAAATAATAATAGTCTAACTTATATATCGTTACACAACAACACAATCAAAATATCTAAAAAAAAAGTTGAAATAAATATACAAGCTGCTTTTATAAAAATATATTGAATCGGGGGGGGGGCATATAAAATGATGCTACATGTTACATTATTTGATAATGTTCCTCCCTCAAAAAAACTATTTTTAAACATGCTGTAATATGATACACTAATATGCTATTTTTTAAAAATTTCCTAGTTACATTTGTTATTAATGGGAATATATAATTTATATTTATTTATTTTTTAAAAATTAGCATATTTAACAATATTAAAAAAATAAATAAAAATTATTGTATAAGAAATTTATATAAATAAAATTTTTCTAGTTTCTGACTAAAGTAAAAAATACATTACATATATAATGAAAATAAAATAAATATCATCGGAAATATTCCCGGAAATACCTTAATATTTCCAAATATGACTACAGTATTGACTGTATATATGACTGGCGCTCTCAATAGTGTTTACTGTATATTATATGTATTATTGCATTGAAATACACTGTACTATCGATTACAATATTATTGCATTCATTGTGTGTTTTAATACTATATATGACGTGTTGTCCGTCATTGCAATCATTTGTTTGTTTGTGTCATTAATATCACTGTTTTTTTTGTATTTATTATTTTATTTATTTGTGTGAATCGTTTAATTGTCGACACATTTATTAGGACTATATATCATATATTATCTGTTAAATTGTCTAACAATTTAATCATCAGTTGTTTTGGGTGACGACGACAACAACAACAACAACAATGACCACTATCTGTACGAAAGGGTCGCCGAAAGTGGGCCGACATCTTAGTGTATGAATTGATTTGAATTGAAGACACGTTTTTAAAATTTCTTCATTTGTTATCATTTAACCTCATTTTTTTCAGTCGACCCGTAATCACATGAATCTAGTGGACAGACTGCGTAAGTCATTGTATTACGGAAGTATCAAATGCGGATCCAAAGAATCGTCAATGGATTGTCCGTCGATGCCGTTGACCGAAGTGACGGTTGAATTGTTCGAGAAGACGGTAACATCGGGTGCCAAAGGATTGGATGTGTTTGATATGAACTTTGTGTCGCACGTCTCGCGCGAGGCTTGTATTACGCCGACGTCTATAATGTTGTCAATGATTTATTTGGAACGATTGAAGACCAGAAATCCCGAATATTTGCGACGAGTGTCCACTTGTGATCTGTTTCTCGTATCGATTGTACGCTATTATCATTTATTATTTGATCCAACATATATTGATTGTCTATTTATTTATTTATGATTTTAGATGATTGCTTCCAAGTTTCTCTTTGACGACGGCGAAGAAGATGAAGTATTTAACGACGAATGGGCCAACTCTGCCGACATTGATGTCAAACAATTGAATCGCTTGGAACGCGAATTCTTGAAAGCAATCAATTGGTCGCTATATGTGGACAACGAAACATTTATGAAACAGTTGGCCAAAGTTGAAGCACTCATATCACTGAATCAATCAAACAAACGGTGTGACATCAATGGTATGACTTATTCAGAACTGTTAGCACTGTTCGACTACTCCATGACTCGTCGTAAAGATGGTTCCGATATCTTGTGGCGCGAAGTGGTGTCCACTGTAACAAAACTATTGGTCGTATCGTGTGTGGCCTACTGGACGACCGTATTTGCATTGGTGGCCTCGACAGCCATCAGCAGAGTATCGCTGGACAATACTCAGACTAATGTCAATCAATCTCTTCTAATTAATGACTCACTACTCGCTTATTATCCGAATGATTTGTTTCGTCGAAAACTGTCCGATAATTTAAGGACAAACGATTTGGTGTTTTCTTTGTGTGATAAAACAAATGCCAAATTCGATGTCCATCTTTCATACGATAGACCCGAAGATATTTCTTACAGAACATTGCGATCCAATAATCATATCACTTCCAGATCTATTTCCGGTCATGTAATCAACTTATGCGTGGAATCGACACCGAAAACGAAACATTCATTCAATAATTATCATAAATATTGATTCTCTCTCTCACACCATATGTTTTTGTTTACAGACTTTTAAAAAAGACCTGTCATTCATATATCATCGACGACTAAGTTATTAACCACAAAAAAATTTATTTGTTTATTACCGTAAATAACTTATTTTTCATGCAAATTACCGTTAAATTAAATACAGTATATATATATATGTATAATTAGTATTTGTGTTTTGTATGTTTTTTCAAAAAAAATTGACATTTATAAATTTGAAAAGTATATATATAAATAATTGTGTAAACTATTTAAATTAAATTATACATTCAGTTTTTTTTTAAATTAAATTAGATTAGCAATTATGAATACATAATTTATAAATAATAAAACTTCGATCTATAGATATATCAAAAACATTGAGCCAAATATATTTGATATATTGTATTACCAATTATTAATAATCATTAATAGTGTAAAATACAGTAAATATTTGTAAATTATATATAAATTATTTTTTAGTTATTAAACTGTTGTAACGCTGTCTTGACTCTATCAAATAAAGTCGTATCGTTTGTCGTTAACAATTGCTGTAAGAGTTTATGAACGCCCATCTCTTTTAGCCGATCCTGTCGATGGTTGGCTCCCTCTTCTTCACTCCAGATGAGGTTTGATATGCAAAATGTGGCCGCAATCTGGAGTTTAACATTCGAGTGCATCATATAGGAGGTCAGCTTCTTGAGCATATCTTCGTTGGACATAATAAACTCTTTGGCTGTATCGCCGTCGGCAATGTTGGCTAGAATACAGAGTGCCTGTTCTTTGACATCCGATTGGTGATCGCCTTCGAGTATCAGTATGACTGCTTGCATCACTTGTTTCCCATGAAGACTCATTATGTGATCGATATGCTGTAAGGAGTTGGTGGACGGGGGTATCAATAATTATGGGATAAAAATATTATACCAATTGAATTACTTGTACCATAAAAAATTCAATCAAAATTACAAACAAACCGGTTTATTGGAGAGCAAATTTCGCAATAGACCCAACGTCTTCATCAATGTGTTGACGTCTGGATCCGATAGCAAACGAAATATCTGATCGGTTCCCAATGCGTTAAGTATTTGCGATTTACAATTCTGGTCGGCTTGAAATGCCATATTCATTAGGGCCCACACGCCGTTCAATCGGAGTGCCGCCTCATCTCTACGGGTCAGATCACATAACAGTTCAACGGCTCCCCGATCCAAGAAGTGCTTCAAAAAAAAAATTCGAGAATAATTACCGGTAATTATATCCGTACAGTATATAAATACCTGTTTGCTCGGCGAAAACTCGAGTAATAAATTGCATAAAGTACTCGACGCCACACTCAATATCTCGTCGGATGCGTTGTGCAAGAGATTTCTTAGCGGTACCCAAACGGCATGATCTTGAAATGTTGTCCGCAATTGTTGAACAGATCGCGACAAACTATGCAGACATCTCAGTGCCGATAATCTAGTCTTTATGTTCGGATCGGACAGACCGCTGACAATGTGATCCATTAGAAAATCGGTTTCAATGATTCGCTTCCGGATGTCTTCGTCATTGGCACCTAACGAAGCAAATGCCTTGAAGGCCGCCTGTTTCATGTCTTGGGTTGTAATCACTTCCTGTTCTAGTTTTCTAACGGTGGCCGCTGTTATTGGCTGATTGTTGAATGCATCGGAATATCCCAATAGTGATATACAATTGGATTGATATTTCAATAGATCAGCCAAAGTTGGTATCAAATGATCACAAATACTGGCGGTTTGCTGAAGATTAGTGTCTATTTCGGTCAGATAGGCAAGAGTTTCGGCTCCCATCGCCCGAATCGACGTTTCTTTGTCTTTCTTACACATTCGGACCAAAGTCGGTAATGTTTTGTAAATAATTCGTTTATCGTCACTATTAAGAGCACCGGAACGGTATATACAGGTCATGCATTTGGCGGCAATTAATTGCATTTCGTGTGTCTTCTGTTGGCTCATCATTGAGACCAACAAATCGGACATTGATTTTCCATCGCAATACTCATTGACAACAAAAGCCGATACTGTTTCGTTTTGGTAACAGATTTGCGCCAACCAGTGAAGAGCAGCCATTTGGACTTTCAGGACATTGTTAACCAATAGTGAAGCAATCAGTGAAATTGATCCGTAATTATTCAGAATATTTTGCTGTTCGTTAGTCTATTTTTAGAAAAAAACATTATTTAAAAATAATTTCGGTAAACATATTATAATTTTATTATTAAAAAATAAAAATCACTCATAAATTGTTAGTTTAATTTTTCAGAGACCATTACCTGACACGAAGCGGCCATAATGTTGGCGATACACTCCTTATTGACAAACGACCGATGACTGGCCGCCAAACTTAACAAATGCGGTATTATTTGGTATAACGGATCGTCTTTCATGTCGTTCCGATCGAAAATCATGTTTACCGGTGTTTCCGGAGACTTTAATATCGTCCGCAACGCCCGTAGACACGCCTCGACAAAAGCGGCGTCACTGGATCTGGTATTCTCCAGAAGTATGGCTACCACTCCGCTATCGATCAGCACTTTGACGTGCTCTTCGGTACCTTTAGCCAGACTGGCAATTGTCAGTACAGCTTCTTTGGCCAAATTGGCACTGTTTTGTTTGTTGCACATTTGGATCAGTTGGATGAGTCGGGGAACAACAGACGATTCGATGATCGAGCCTTTCATACGATTGCTTCCGATGACCAGATTCTTGATATTTCTGTTTTTGTTAATAATATAATAAATGATATGATATTTAGAAATGACAGACATATGGATGACAATCAGTGATACGATTAAGACATTTATAGACATAAGATATCATACATGAGTGCTTCGAGACATTGGATCGGATCTTCTGAGTACAAGCCGTGGTAATTGTCTTTAGTTGAGTCGACCTCCTGAGCGATGTAAACACATACAGACAACAGTATTAATGATTAAAAAACTGGACAAAAATTGTTTGCCGAGACAATCAAAAAAGTTTACCATAAATGTGGCCAAAGTGTTTGCCATGGCTGCTGATGTTTGGATCAGTTATGTAATCTTCAGCAACGATTTTAGTGGTAATATTTAGTTTAAATTGTAAAACAGTTTTCAAAAAAAAAAAATTTCTTTCAAATGTTTTGAAGATTTATTTTATTATTAAAAACATTGAATTGAATGTTAAAAAAATATTTGCAATTTTTTTCTCTCTCTCTCTCTCTGTATATATAAATAGCTTTGTATTGTATTTACTCAATAGTCATACAGTAGTGACCATAGATGTCGCGCCAATTGATTTGATGTTAACTTATTATTGAAAGTATTGGTCATTTGGAAATTGTTTGCCAATATATTTATCGGTAAACTAGTGGCCAGTATTCACGAATCGGTATTATTTTTTATTTTTTAAAAATAGGACAACAATTTAGACTAACCGTACAAATAAAATATTTTAATATAATTTTATTAAACAGTTTTGTTATTGTTATTGTTGTTCATTGAATGATATGCTTAAATAAATATCGTTTTTTTTGTATAATATTATCATTAAATTATATAACAAAAATTATAATTATTATATAATAATTATTTTATTATCTAATATATACAATAAATAATTTATTTAAAATATTATATATTTTATATTATAAATCTTTTCAATTAAATCCAAAAAATTAGTTTTTTTATTATTTATACAGAATATTCCTCAAAGAATCTTCAATACACTAAATATATAGTCATTTTAATTAATGAAACAAAAAAAATCAGTACACTATTGAATGGGATGATAATTGTGTCCATAAAAACCAACAAAAAAGATTAGTATTAATTATAGCCACCACTGCTATAATAACTATTATATATATATATATATAWATATATCGTGTATTACATAATCAATTTGGCTTTTTATACTGTATTTCAGTGTATAAGCCAACACACAAACCATATGACGACTCCGTATATAATATAATATAATATAATATAATATAATATAATAGTGACGTATAGTTTCGTTTCGTCACATAATAGTAATGGCTCTCTAATAAAATGTGTGTAAATATTAAATTATTTTCACTAAATAAAATTTTTTAAGTAAACTATATTTATATATCATATAACAGACACATATAATACATGTATAATAATTTATTAATACAATATATTTTTGTATGCATAAAAATGTTTAATTTTTTTTGTTTGTTTGTTAAATAATTGATTTTTCACACACAAAATAATTTCTATTATTTTGTTTTAATTTTCGGAAAAGAGGTAATAGTTTTTATTTTTTAAATTTTATTTATAATTTTTTTTAGTTTAATTATTATTATTATTATTAGATATACTTGAATGTACAGTATTGTAATAGTGTAAGCCATCATCAAATGCATTGCTTAATATTTTTTTATAATTATTTAATACCCATTGCCTATCATATGTGTATAAAGTATTTATATATTATAGCAATGCAACTAAAAAATAAATAAATAAATAGCCATACATTTTGCTAATTCAAACAAACAAATATTGGTTTTGATGTTTTCGCACAAAAATATATGATTTTATTTTATTTTTTTTTTAGTAGTACTAGTAGTTGTCTTTTTTTAAAAAAAATATATGATTTGGTTTTAAAAATTTGTTTTCAAAACAACTAAAGTATATTATTTTGTGTTGTTGTTATATTTGCATATCATATATATTTTATATCAATATATCATATTATATATCATACTGTATATGATATGTGTGTCTGTTTGACGTGATTTTCATTGGTTTTCATGTAATTAAATTTCTTTTATATTATATTATTTAATATTATTATTATTATCACTACAGTATTATTATATACTTTATAGCCATATCTCTCTCTCTCTCTCTCTCTCTCTCTCTCTCTCTCTCTCTCTCTCTCTCTCTCTCTCTTTTCTCTCGCGTTTCAATTGATGGTATGTATTGCTAATATGAATGCGATTTTTGCATAACATGTTATATGAATTTTTTTTTTAAACAGTGATTTATACAGTATATTAAATTGAAATATCAATGCATTACTATTTTGTGACTGTATTTATATTATATTTATATATATTTAACTGTAATGTATACTGTAATGTAATTTAATGGTTATACGAATGCATTTTAAATTTATATTTTAAAAAAATAATTAGTAATATTAAACGTTTTTAGTTGTTTTATACTGTAGTGTATTTTTTAAAACCAAGTTTAACCTAATTTTAATAGTTATTTTTGAAAATTAATTAATTTATATATATATATATATATATATATTTTGAATAAAATTGTCCCAAAAAATATTGATGTTTGTATAGATATTAAATTTATTGATATTTATTTTATTTAAATTTAAATACATTTGATTTGATAATTTTAGATAATTAATTAGTTAACATATTGACAAAATATAGATACAATTTTTAATTATTAAATATAATTTATTATTAAAAATAGTTATTTTGATATTTGATATCTATGTACAGTAGATGGATATTTAATATTATAATTAAAAAAAATTAATTACATTTATTGAATAATGATTATACTGTTTTAAATTATTAGTTTTTTAAAAAAAAAAATCATATGACTAATAAAATAGTTTTAACTAAATTTCTAGTTGTTTAATAATATTGAAATAATAAAAAATAATAATGATTATTATTTTTATAATTGATGATACAATTATATGTTAGCAGTAGTATTGATTGATTAAAAAAATGTGTAACATTTTTAATTAACTGGGTTAATAATTTGCTAGATATGTATAGTACATTAACATTGGTTAAATTATTGATTAATTAATTGCTATGAATTTGTGCTTTTCATATGAAAATGTTATGTTAAATAAGTATTATTATTATTATTATATTATTGTTTTTTTGTTATTATAATAATTTGTTTGAATGCTTAAGAAACGGTATTAAAATCACATGTTTTAATATTACATTTTACTTATATAAAGTTTATTTGACCTCATATTTTATTTTATTTTTTTTTTAAATTTTTATTATCTCGTTTATCTGGAAATAAAATAATAATAAATATTTAATTTAATTTTTCCTTATTATATAAATTTATCCAAGGATTATCTATGTTTAAATTTTAAAAAATATTAATTTATATAATTTTATTTAAAAAAAATATAACAAATATGTGTTTTTTATAAACTTTTATTTGTTTACATATTGTTTTATTTATCTAATAATTTTTTTTATATATATTTATATATATACATATATATCTAAAAAGTAAATTGATTTAACAAAAAAAAATGATAATTAGTTAAATAATAACAGTGCTATTTATAAATATAGTTTATTACTACTGCTAAGGTTGATACCTGTCTCATCTATTATTATAATTAATAATAAGCAATACAGTTGAACAATCAATTTGATATATTGTTGTAAAATAAATATAGTATATATATATATATATATATATATAACATTTTCATGTGATTAAAATCAATTTTATAGATCTCTCTCTCACATGACTTATAGACTATAACTTATAGTATCAAAAAAAAATTTTACTTTAACTCTAAAAACTTAATATACAGAGAGTACTACTGTACTATACTAACAAATTGTACATTAAATTATTGATTAAGTAGCTTAAAATAGGTCTCATCATTTAATATACTGTATATAATATTCACATTATTATTATTATTATTAACATTATTTATAATCATAATCGTCTTATTTGCTTAAAACGATTATTTCATATGTATTTTTAATAATTTGTTTATTAATACAAGTAATTATTGTTTTGGTTATTATTATTATTATTTAGTATTGAAGAGCTAATATAAACAAATTGTGTGTTTAATTAATATAATAAATTATCTATTGATTAACATAAAATTAAAATTTAAAAATAATTTTTTTGCTTGTTTGTTAATACTGTACACTGTTTAATGTCCTCAGAAAACATTGCAATAAATTATAAATTAACTAAAAATTCATATTTTATTATTATATTTACCAAACAATTATTATACTTTATATAATTTCATATATCATGTAAAATATTTTCTATAATTATTATATAATATAATAATTTTCAGACACTGTGCAGACAGGCAATGTCTTATTAATAATGATATTACTGTATATAATAATAAAAATATGTATAATTTACATATATATTAATAAAAATATAACAGTGCATAAAAATATATTGTATAAATTAAAAATATATATATTAAAATTTCACAATTTTTTAAAAAACTATAGTAACAAGTGATGAATACTCAAAAAAACAAAATGTATTGACTAAAAAACATTTATATATATATTACTAGTAAATTATTGATGTGTTTGTGGTGTTGTTTATCTTAACTAATATTAGTTAAAAACTTTTATATATGTATTTGAATGAATCCCTTATCTAATCCACTGATGTCTTGCTTATGAACTCCAGCCTTGTATTCACTGTTTGTCTCTCAATAACCACTAAAAGTATAATATTATTAATGATATTATCATTTTTATAAGAGTAATGCGATTATTATTTATATGAAAATATATATATATTTTTTGTCAAAATCAACACTTTTTTCTGGTGTTGTGTTTTTTGTTTGTGGATATTATATAACTTAAGAGAGAGAGAGAGAGAGAAAAAAAAATTAATATAATTTATTTTTATTTAGTTTCGATCAATTTTTATACAGTATTTTTTGTTTTGTTTATATATATAATATATAATGTGAAATATTTAGTACTGAAATCGTACTGATATTTACTACTATATAACCGGATATACTATTTTTGTTTTTTTTAAATTAAATAAACTAAATTTATAAATTGTAAGTTATCTTTTTTTTTTATTAGTTGAATGAATCTAAAATATTATATTCAATAGAAATTATTTTTAAAAATGTTATAATATAGTAGCTAATTTTAAAATAAATAAATAATTTTATGTATTTTAAAAATAACTATTATAATAAAATTCATTATTAATAATATACTAAATAATATTTACAATTATTTTTATCTATATTTTTATTAGTATTATCGTCGTATTATTAATATCATTATCAATTATTAGCTTAACATATTGTTTAGTCTAATAATAATAATATTTAGATATAGATATATTAGTTTTATTGCAATATTATTGAAATAAGTGAAATAACTTAATCCTGGGTTTTTGTATGATTTATTTAGTTAATGCAATAATTGTTAATAAAAAATAAATTCATAAATTTTTTTTAATTAGATTTTAAACTGAAATCTGTTTTTTTTTTTAATAAATATATTGACAGCAGAGTTGATGCCAAGTATGGCAACAATGATGAGTAGATTTGGGTTTCACGATATAATGCAGCCGTCGGTTGGCCACCAAAATAGCGCACAAATAGCAATCAGTGACACATCTTCGGGCGATACAATGTCGCCGCAGAGAAAGATATCGCGTGAGACCATACATTCGGGTCATTTTATGGTCTCCGAGATCGACGAAAATGAACAGACGGGTGGAGTTGTAGTCGCTGAGCCGTCACACGACTCAGACTACGAACGGCCAGTCGAGACCAACGATGCTCTTAACTATGATTTGGAGATGAATTGTAGAGAAACAACACAAACCTATGCCTACGGACCCAAATCGTTGAATACGGTGTCCATCGATGGCTCGCTGACGAAGCTGTTCGAGTGTATGAGTCTGGCCTACAGCGGAAAGATTACATCTCCCCGTTGGAAGACATTCAAAGGTCTTAAGTTGAAATTGAAAGACAAGATCCGACTCAACAATATTATATGGAGAGCCTGGCATATACAATGTATGGACCAATTATTTGGGGGGTTTTATTTAATATTTTTTTAAATAATAATAATAATTATTATTATTGTTGTTGTTGTGGTCACAGACATCGCCAGACGTAATCCAATTGTTTGCCAGTTTTCATCGCCGGTAGACAGCGATCGTCACAAGAAAGCCGAAGCAGTTATAATGGAGGGTAAATACTGGAAACGACGGTTGGCCACTGTTACGGCCGAATATCAAAAATGGAGACAATATTATAGAAATACGGGAAGACCTGTTACACCATCCCGTCCCGTATGTATTAGTTAATTAAATGAAGTGTAAGAAATGATTTGTAATAATATGTTTATATAATTAAACAAACAGGCGATTCAATTTGATTGGGAAAACAGTTTTAATACTTTATCGGCCGATATGGTCAGTGCCGACGACATAATGGATTTTAGTGACACTTTTTTAAGCAATTTGCCGATTAATTTTGATTTTCCGAATCCCCGAGAAATAGGTATATAAATATTAAGCAATTAATATTAGGATTAAATTTAAATTTAATTTTTATTTGTTGAATGGTTAGCCCGAAGCGGAATGTCGGCAGAGTTTATACAGCCAGGACTCGTGCAATTACAACCAAATTTCGATGAATTTATGGACACGTTTGAGCCGTATCAAGGTTTGGTATAAATTTTATAGCCTCCCCCCCTCCAAAAAAAAAATAAAAATAAAATATAACTAAATTTTTTTTATCCGAATAGAGTTGTTCTTCAATTCGAAAAATACATCTTCGTTGCCAACATTACCCGAAGAGTCCAATGTTGTGGCGGATCAACAAAATTCAAAACAACTCAATCATTTGGTTAGTAATAGTTTGATAAAAAAACTAAAAGTACTTATATTTACCGGTAATTGTTTTTTCTTTTTCTATCATAATTTTTTTTGGTGATAGATATCCGATTTAAGTGCTAAAGATTTAATGATTCAACTTCTCGGTGAGTCAAACAATATGACGGCCAACACAAATGCGACATCGATTCAAAACTATACGGTGAACAACAAAAATCTGATGCAAACCATGGACTCCATTCAAAATCAATTTGATCCCAATCTGAATGCTTCGTACAAAATGAATTCAATGAACACAATCCAACCTCAGGTGGTAAGCAATGCTCAAACGATGCCAGTGATGACCAATATGACTGCCATACAAAATAACATGCAATCAAAGCCACTACTGGATCAAACTATACCGTATACACAATACGGTAGTCCGGTTGGTGGTACACAAAATACAGTGCCTTTAACTCACATTCAATCGCCTATACATACGAAAAGTCGGGTTCAGATGGTCCAAGAATTTGCTCAGTCAAACAATAACAATAACATCAATAATAACATCAACAACAATAGCATCTCATATTCATCGATGACGGTTAGTCCTGTCAGTCCGGCTCATCAGCACTACGTCAACGTGAAGACCAGCCAGAGTCCGCTGAGAAAGAAGTACCAGAACACACATCCGAAAGTGACGATTGCCTCCAGCGCTGCCACCAATCAGAAGTTTGCGATTCCCAAGACTATGCCGGCCAAACAAAGGTCTCGCGAGAGAAGCATTTCAACGCCTCATATCAACAGAGGCGGATTACAGGTGTTGCCACCGGTGACCACACAAGCCAGTGCTGTTTCGATGTTGGACATTAACTCTCTCCCGAATCCCAATCCCCGAGTCAACCAAATCCCTATCGAGCGCTCAAATTCTCTGCCCGTCTATACTCAAGAACCACAGCGACGAAAAGGTGTCGTCGCATTGCCTCCCAATATGTTCAACACTTCAAATTTGGTGACCACTTCGACCACCAATCTATCACCAAATCTATCATATTCATTACAACCAACCATACAATCAATACAACACCAACAACAACAACAGCCGACGACGATTAACAATCATAGGCTGCAAATAATAACACAAAACGACGCCAACAACTCTTACTCTTCTTCTCCATACTTATCATCTCAACAGCAATTGGTTGTGTCCAATATGCCCAACGCTTACGATATACCTCAGGGATCTACTAATACTACTAGTTCTTCAAATGACAGCACACTTATTGCACGTCTACTGACCTCAAACTCATTGTCTAACATATCGGGCAACAGTTCATCACAACAACAACAACAACATCAACAACACATGTACTCAAATCAAAGTGCAGCTCACAATATGAATGCGAGAAACACCGAAAGGCCCACAACTATTGACGCCAGTTGTATTGGGATCAGACCACAGGTCAAAACGATTGCCAATGAAAAATCTCAGATGTTTTTACCAAAACAAATGAGTGACACAAATACTACTGCAATACAAATGAGTGGTCAGTTGACGCCAAACTTTAAGCCAAATTTTATAATACAATCAAATCAAGACATCAGTTCTTCATCATCGATAGTATCAATTGTGCCGCACATGCCATCGCTATCCAAATCGCATTCATCTCCGATATCGTTGCACTCGTCGAAAGATAAATTTACTGGTTTTCAATCGATACCATCGCCGCCATCAATGTGTTCGCCGACTAACGCGCCAAAAGGCAAACCGGGCAAAGATAAGGTCCAATATCGAGAACACCGACGCGTTTGCCATATAAATGCCGAACAGAAACGGCGCTGTAATATCAAGAATGGTTTCGACACACTCAAGACATTGTTGCCATCCATTAGCCACAACACCAACACAAAGATTAGCAAAGCAGCGATGCTCCAGAAGGCCGTTGAATTCATCCAAGAGCTTCAGGGAGAGTCTCATAAACAACAGGACGAAACAGATCAGCTGAGGAATCAGGTCGACAGCGTTAACCAGATTATTAGGTTTGTGTTGTTGTTGTTGTTGTTGTTGTTGTTGTTATTGTCACCAATTAGTTGTGACCAATATAAGTGATAATTAATTGATTTTTGTTTGTTTTGATGATTTACCAATAAATTTTGTTTAGTGTCTATCAAAATCAATTACCGGCAACTGGTGTCCCGATATCATCGCAGCGTTCATCGCAGACTCGGGTACTTTACGAGAACTATGTTCGCGAAAAAACTCTGGAAAATTGGAAATTTTGGATTGTATGTCATTTTTTAGAGTATTTATATATATATTATATATAAAAAAAATACTATAGTTTTTTTTAAATTTTTAATATATATATACAAATATTTTATATATAAAAAAAATTTAGTTTAGCATAATAATGGGCTCATTATGGGATTCATATAATCAGACGGTGACCACATCCAGTGATGAAGAGATCACCAAATCGTTGTCCCGTTGGTTGGAACACAGCTGTTGTCTCTCCCAATTGAGAAAAGGTATGCTATTATTATTATTATGATTAATATCAGAAAAACGTTATGAGAGAAACAGTAGCTTTTTATTTGTTTTTTTTATAAATAAAAGATTATTATTATTTAAATGTTTGCAATATTTTTAATGATAAGGTATTTCAATAAAAAAGTTTTTCAAGTAATTATATGAGACATTTTTTCAAAATAGCTTTTTATTTAACATTTATTATATATTTCAATGAATATATTGTATAGTATTATACAGGTATTAACAATAAAAGCAATTTAAAGTGTTAATGAAGATAATTGTCACGCATTTTGTTTCTGTATTTTTTTTAAAATATTTAATATTTTAATTTTATTATAAATTTTCTTCTTCTTAATTATATTTATAATTATTATTATTATTATTATTCAACAGATGTATGCAATTCGTTACGCTATTTGAGTACATCGACAAACATATTGACTGATCCCAACCTATTGCCAGACGAGGCATATCAAGCGGTCACGAAAAAGGAGAAACAATTGTCTTCGTGAGTCTTCACCGAAACTTTAACTAATCCATTGATAAACGCAAGAGTAAACACACGTCACACAAGAGTTTCATTACTATATATATATATATACAAACTTATATATATTGAAAATCTATGTATACTTTTAATTGCTTTTTTTAAAAGAAAAAGTAAAAATGTATTTTTAAAAATTTTTATTACTTTATACTATATATATATTACTATATACACACATATATATATAAATTATAGCATAAAAACTATTTGATTAATACTACATAAAAAATTAATTAAGTTGTAAAACAATCATAACATCAGTACAAAAAAAATTGTTTGTTTAAAACATGTAATTAAGATATTATTTTATAAATACTATTTAGATAAGTATACTGTTTATCAATATATTATATGCTATAAAAACGATAATTTTTATGAAATTAATATATAATTTTCAATGTGTTTAATCAGTTTGTGTGTGTGTCTTAATCTCATTATAGACTAATTTATAAGAGTTTTTTTAATTGTAAAAAATTATCACAAAAATTATTAAACATATAAAAGCATTATTTTTGATAGATAACTAAGCTATTGTTAATTACAAAAAAAAATATTCAGTATAATAATAATATTATTATTATTAGCCAAACATTTGTTTTTTTTTGATTTATTATATATATATATATATATACCAATTATTATATTATTGGATTTGTTTGTTTGTTAAATATTTAAATATAATACAATTGAAAGAATTGAAAAATATATTATATAATTATTATTATTATTATTTGTTTGAAACAAATTATGTATAAAGCGTTACTAATCATCTAAAAAAAAAATAATTAAAATATAAATATCCAGCTAATAATAGTACAATATATATATATATATATATATACTACAGTATATTACAGTATAATAGAGCATTTTTGTTGTTGTTTGTTTGCATTGTGTATATAATTATTTCCATCACTTATATGCCAATTATAATAATAATAATAATTTTTTGTTGTTGGGTTTAATAAGTTATTAATTGAAAAATTGAAAAAAATAATTTGTTGTCATAATTTTGAAGGTTAAATGAAGAGTATTTAGTTAAAAAATACTGTAATTATCGGCTAATAATACTAATAATAATAATAATAAACTGCTAAACAAATTGCATTTAAAAAAAACATTTTTGATTTCAATAGCCGTTGGGCGGAGAGGGAGGAGATTGGAAAGAGACTGCAATAAAAAACCTGTTTAAACCATTTGATGTACATTTATAGACATCCAACGCAACTATTAATGTATATATATTGAAGAAATATCATTGAAAATCAAATATTTAAAAGATCTTTTATAAATCATATATATATATATATTATATACTGTTCCCAATCAGAGTCAAAAACACAACATCCCACACATCTTTCATTTTACACACCTTTCCATCGCAATTATAGCCCCTATTTTGGGTATAGTTTTTTATCATTGACTTTCACTTTCACTCTTTCTTTATCTCTCTTTCTTTCTGTTTGTGTAAATAATATGCTTTGAAAGCACATCTTCTTCTTCTTCTTCTCTCAGTCATCGTCGTCGTCGTCGTCGTCGTGCAAACCCTCTCAGTAGAAGTGATACCTTTAAGAGAGGACAACGTGTGAACAACTCTTGTTTTTCTTGTTCTTCTGTGAAAACAAAGGATTTTATTTGTTTTAAAAAACTTTTTAATCTCCAGAGATATTGACACAGATTTTAAAGTTTTAAAAATATATATTTATTTGACTTATTTAGGGAACAGTTAGTTGTTTTGTTAGTTTGTTTGTCTATTTAATAATAGTCATGGATGACAGTGCAGCGTATTCAAGAAGTATATGATACAAATAAATTTAAATTATTTAAATTGTTTTATATATACAGTATATATATATATTATACATATTGTATATATAAAATTATTAATTTAAATTAAAACTAAAGTCAATCTTTATTTTTTGTAAAAATTTTCTTATTATAGACAGCAGTGCATTGACGGCCGACACCGACGACCTAATTGTTGGCGACCGGGTTTGGGTTAACGGCAAAAAACCCGGTTATGTACAGTTCATCGGTGAGACCAAGTTTGCCAAAGGAGAGTGGGCTGGCATTGTCTTAGATAGTTATAACGGGAAAAACGACGGAACCATTAATGGCGTCCGTTATTTCCAATGCGAACCGTTTCGCGGACTATTCTGTCGACTGTATCGTTTGTCACGCTATCCGGTGGACACTAACGGCGACCGATTGTATTCGTTCGACAATAAGGACAAAAGCAAACTGACCCGAACAGTGCGTTCGCAGTCACCCGACGGCAAAATCAGATCGACAACCACTGAATATGTTAATAAACCGGTTCCTCATTATGCTCTGCCGACTCGTGGTCCGGCCAAACTGGTAACCGAAGTGACAACAATGACTACGTCCGACGATCCAAACAATAATATCCGAATCGGCGACAGAGTGGTAGTCAATACCAAGGAAACAGGCGTACAGTCGGGTCGGGTTCGCTATATCGGACGGACACAGTTTTCAAGCGGAATATGGGTTGGACTCGAACTTAACGAACCAAACGGTAAAAATGATGGATCAGTTGCCGGTAGAAGGTATGAGAATTTTTTTAAAAATATAATATTAATTACTATTTTATTCTGTAAATATTCTGCATATTTTTGTAGTATTTATTATTTATTTTTATATTATTTATATTTAATAGTTATTATTATTATTACAATAATTATTATTTTGATTAGTTTTGCCAACAAAAAAAAACTATTTGCCAAACTATTTTCAATTAATTTGTTTGATTGTCTATTACTATGTTTGGTATTGTTATGTGATTTATAGTATCTTTTATTGTTATTGTGTGTGTGTGTTATCCCTCATCATATCATATCATAACATAATTTTGTTAGGGAAAGCCTTGAAAAAGACAAACACTCTATTTATATACCGATTCCGAGGAATTCATTTAATAATTGTGTTTTGTCTTTCATTTATATATTACACGCATTTTGTTAGTTATCATGAGTTTTATTCATCAAAATCAATGGACTGTAAAAAATTAAACGATTTTTTTTGCTATTTTTTGCGAGAGTAATTAAACGAGATTTAAACAATTTTTTATGTAGGTGTTTGACTAATATACAGACACACATAACTTTTTTTTTGATTTATATATAAATTTAGAAATTATAAAATTATAATTATATATATATTAAAATAAATTATTAATGCTTTTTAAAGTTATCATATTCTGTATTAAGTTAATTGGATTCTTGCAGTGTATCTCAATATGTATGCAATTTATGCAGTATTTTAAACACATAGTAACCAAAAAAAAATTTATTATAGATTCTATACTGTAATATAAGATAAATCTTATATAATAGTAATGATCTGATAAATAGCATATATATTATAATATAAATTATAGTACAATAATTATGTTAGATTATATATTCAATAATTTTATTATTTTGTTTTGATAACTATTTTGTTTTGTTTTATTTTGTTGTTTGTGTGTATAGATATTTTATTTGTCCCAAACGCTACGGTTTATTTGCACCAATTGATAAAGTAGTTAAAGGAGAGGCTGTCCGCACAATTACTAAAACCCGGTTCCTAAACACAACCACTTCCACCACTGATAAACCTGTATGGAAAAGCACACGGGTATTAAATTTTTTTTTTTAAATATAATTTTCTAAATGTTTCAAATTAATTGTACTGTAAATATATAAATTTTTTATCTCATTATAATTGCAGTTTCAGACCAATTACTAGAAATTAGACTTAAAAAAAATTTTTGAAGACATTTTGAAGAAGAAAAAGATACATTACTACACAAAATAAAAACAACATCAACAACAACAACAACAAAATGGTTTGGTATTACACCATGGATTACACAAATAATTATTAAAAAAAAGTCATTTATAAACACACACACAAATCTATCACCTTTTAAAAAAAATAGTTTCAATTAATATTATTCAATTTTCAATTTGTTAACATTATAATGATATTTATATAGTTTTTTTGTTTAAATGAAAAAAAAATTTGACACTTGTTTTTTTGTTTGTTTGTTTGTTTTATGATTGAAAAAACAAAATTTCTTCATCAAAAAATTGCAGTACATATTTGACAATTTGATTTCGTTTTAAAACAATAATAAATTGCAATTGTATTTTCAAATGAATTTTCGCATTGATTTTCATTACAAGAATCATAAAAATAATAATAATTACTATTTAAACAAATTTTTTTTTATTAAAATGTTTGTGTATTTAATAAAGGTTTGGACATTTTTTAGAGGAAAGTTAGATAAGATTTATATGTTTTAAGTAATACTTATATAACATGTTTTTTTGTTGATAAAACAAAGGTTTTGTTTTCGCATCTTTTATTTGATTATTTATTATTTACTTAACAAGAGAGAGAAAGAGAAAGAGAGAGAGAGAGAGAGAGAGAGAGAGAGAGAGAGAGAGTAAATAAATATTGAAATTATCAAAAAATAGTTTGAATAAAATAAATATAATTTTTTTATTTGTTTTATAAAAAAAAACTTTTAACTAGCCTTGGATTGATTGGACAGATATGGGTTTGGAGTGTATCCTAAAAGTTATGGCATATTCTGGAAATAAATAGTAAGTGAATAAAGTATATATAAATAAAAAAAACTAAAGCAACAAATATAACATATTTTATTTTGTGACAATAATATTATAATATATTAATTTATATACAATATATTCTATACTGTATATATCATATCACTGTAAAGGAGGAGTGGGTGGCTGTAAACTTGAAAATCCTATTTGCGTTAATTAAAAATAGTATCCGACACCACAAACTCCATGAGCTGAGCAGCAGAGGTATACGCATCCGCTCTATGACTAACTGTTATTATTATTATTATTATTACTAACAAAAGTTTTTCTCAAATACATTTACAAGAAATTTTTTTTGTGATGATTTAACCAAAAAAATATACTATACATTCAACGAATTTTTCTGTGTGTATGTACTGTATATACTATATATATAATGTTTGTGTTATAAAATTCATAATATGAATAATAATAATAATATACTAACCGAAAAATAAAAATTCAAATAAAATGCAATAAACAGCAAAAAATCAAAAATATTTTTGACAAATATTGTCATCAAAGCTGACAAAACTAAATCAATTGTCGATTTTTTTAAAATTTTTATTTTCTAAATCAGTAAACAAAATCTGAAGTTTTTCAAAATTTATTTTTTAATATTAAAAATAATTTTCTAATTTAAAACAAAAATGATTTTTTTCAATATTTAGTTAACTTAATGAACAGTATATGTCAATGATTTTTATCAATTAAATGATATTTTAAATCTAAAAATTCATGGCATTTATACGGGAATGTTGTTATTGTTGGTGTTGTTGTTGTTTATAACTGTGATGTGATTTTTAAAAAAATATATAAATAAATATTTTTTATTTTAAGGTAAGCTCTCAAATATCCTACACTTTATTTTGAAGGGTACACTCAATGATACCTAAAAAAAAATTTCGGTATAATTTTATAACATTTTTTATAATATATACTATGATATTATTATTATTATTATTATTATTATCAAACTATATAATACATTACACTTTAGTGTATCGGATAAAACTGTCTATATTTGAAAAGTATTTATTTTCTAGAAAGACATTCAAATTTTTTTTATTTAGTAAGATATTAATCATATGTCTGAATCTAAACTTTATGTCAAAATTTTTAAATATATATATACTGTATATAATATATGTAATTAAGAAACAGTTGAAATATTTGTTTATTTCATTTTTATTTATATAGTCTAACATTATTTTTTAAGTAAATATTTATGATAATTAATTTTTAAATGAAACCCCCAGTGATTTAATTATATATATATTTTTATATATCATTAGTAATGGTAGTAGTATTTGATTGTCATTGAATGACTGATTTTATTTATATACATTTTGTTGTTGTTAATAGTTTGTTAAATATCAATAGTTTTTTAGAAATTAATTATAATTTATTTAAACATTATTTTTATGATTCTGTGTAATTGATTGATACAATAGTAAATTAAAATTTATTATATTGACTAACAATGCAGTGCTATAATTTCAATTGACATGCAACAAAATATAAATTAAATTTTATAAAATTATTTACATACAGTATTTGACGAAAAAAAACTAAAATAAAATAAATGCTATGAAATAAATAATTATTGGCTTTTAGACGCTTAAACATTATAATACTGTATATTTAGTTTTAACACGATTTTTGTTTTGGAAAGCAATGATAATAATAATATGGTTTATATTTTTAAAAAACAGGGCAAACCTAAGCTAAAAATTACTTGTTTACATAAGTAAATGACAATTTATAGCATATATATTATTAGTAATAGTAATACTACTGTACTGTAGTATACTATAGTATAATTGACACAACATTTTCATCAAATGTTTTTTTTGTCTGTATTTTTTTGTGAGAAATACAGAAAAAAATTTCTATCAATAAAACTTTTTTACTACTATTTTACTACATTAGTCATTTTGTTAAACAAAAAAAAATTGTTTTTAAAACATTATAACTAATTATAATACTAATAATAATGTACTTTAAATCATTATGTAATACAAAACCTACTGATAACTACAAAATGTTTTTTCCACTTATTTAAAATCAAATAATTGTAAAAATAAGTTGCGTGCTTAAAAAAATGTTTGTATAATTGTTTGCACTACAGTATGTATTGATAATTTATAAATATTCAATATATAGTAGGAGTAAATATGTATAAATAGTTAAATTAGCTAGATATTTTTGTTAGCAAATAGATTTTTTTATTTTAAAAAACACTTAAATTAGCACAATTTGTTTGCTTTTATAAAAATAAAGCGCATTACAAGTAGTGTAATAATAAATAGCATTTTATATTATAATAAATTTTTTTATATCACACACACTTCTAATACACAAATGATTAGAGAGATTCATAATTATTGGAGAGATTTTTTCTACTACTTTATCTAAAATTAAACACTGAATGAGGGTTTCTATTAATAGTATAGCAAAAACTTAAGAGTATGGGAGGATAGAGAGGCAGAGAGAGAGAGAGAGAGAGAGAGAGAGAGAGAGAGAGAGAGTAATAGTGAGGTTTTTGGCAACAATTTTAAGTCAATAAACAAAATATAAGAATCCATACGATTCTTGAAAAACCATTTATTAGAGCAAAACCTATTCACACATTAAGTATTGTAATCAAGTAATAGTTGCCATCAATTGATTGCAATCATGAAAAAAGCGTTTACATCAGTATTTAAACCTAAAACTAATAGTAATAACGTTAATAATAATAGTAATACAAATAGTAATAATAATAGTGATAATAATAGTTGTAATAATAGTAGAAACAACTCTTTAACATTATGTATTAGTAATGATCTAAAAGATTCAGGTGATTATGTCATCTAAATTTTTGTATATATAATTGTAATATATATATACATAAATTTTCATTTATTTTTGAATGAATTAGTTTCATAATATACTCATATGTTTTGTGTCATTTTATTATTTATCTAAACGATTCCCAAACACACATACAGTTTAAATTCTGGATAATTTTTGAATAGCTATCAAAACAATTTGAAGAATTATGTGTTAATGTGTTTGAAAAAACCCCATTTGATTTTATTTCTATAAATATATTTATACAATTATATAAATTTATATATTTATTATGAAATAAATTAATAAATTCATAGTGATATTATTATTATTATTTTTATTATACTGTATAATATAAATATATAAATTTAATATAAACTCGAGTTTTTAAAAGCAATAATATTAAGATAATAATAATACTGATAATTACATTACATTTATTGAATCAAATAGTTTTGAAACAAACGGACGATTTAAATGATAGGAAAGACATCACCGAAAACCAGACAAACGATATAACAATGAAAAGTATTAATTCAACGAATGCCACAAACTTTGAGAAGAGTTCCGATTTCTTCAAACATCAGGTAAACAGATATTCAAAGACTAATATATCAATTAAAATGACATTTAAAATGTAATGTTTATTAAATATAGTTATCTATGTTTTGTTGATTTTATTGTTTTTTTTGTGTGTCTTTGGTTTGTTTTACACATTTGTCTCATAAAAAAATTATTTATTCATAAAAGAAATTTCACTAAATAGTGAGTAAATGACTTAAGAGTTGGCAAATTGTTTATAACAAAACTTATTATGCGTTTGTTTTTATTCAACAACAAAAAATTATAAGTATATAAAGTATATAATGTAAATAAAAAGTTACAAACAATTTACACATTATTATTAATATTACTAATTATAATAATTATAAATTATATAACAATATGTTGTATATATAATTAGTACGTAATATGTAGAGGTAAGTACATAATGTATAAAATGTGTAAAATAAAAAAAAACAATAATTTTAGCAAATATTTTTTTACACTACATTTAAGCATAACATTTAAAGACAAAAAAAATAATTTGCTTATATTAGTACAGTATTATTGATAGTTTGTATAAATTATAATAATTATACAAAAAAAATTTAAATAATGATTAGTCTAAATATAGACATTTAATTATATATCATTTTGTTCAGCTATAGAATAATTATTAGTATTGTTAAATACATACATAATTGAATGATTATTGAATAAACTCTATTATTTGTAATAATATAATAGTAATCTCAATCAACAAAAAAAATTAATTGGTATTTTTAATAATTAAATTAAACATAAAACTACACAAAAATAAATTATTACTATTGAAAATAAATAGGGATAAATAGTAATTAATAGTTTTTTTTTTTGAAAAATAACAAAAAGATTATTATTCAGTATATTAATGGGTAAATCCTTAAAAACATTTAAATTCATTGTTTAACTGTTTATATATATGTCATATATTACTACAGTATATAAATTATATATACAGTATATATATATATATATATATATATATATACTGTATTTGAATTGTTAAATATTCTCTAATAAATATCTTAAGGAATTTCCAATGGAATTTGCAGAATCAGAACTTTAATGAATGATTTTATTTATAGTTTTTTTTTTGTTTTTTATAATTATTATTTCAGTCTAAAGTTATTAAGCAAATGAAATCATTATTGCAATAATAATAATAATAATTTTATAAAATCTAAAATTAGATTTTTTCTAATGAATAATAAAGCGATAGAATCATCGATAACTATGATATGACTTATATATATATAAATAACTTAATTTTTGTTTGTATTTATCTTCAATTTTATTATGTTAGAAATGATTGCAATATTAAGATGAATATTATATAAATATTTATTATTAGAAAATATTTATATAAATAAATAACATTAAGCACTTGTAAATACAAATAATAAATTTTCTAATGTAATTAAACTCATAGATAAAATACTTTATAAAATATGTTTTACAAATGAGTTATTTTTTTCTCATCACTTGACTATAGCTTTCAAGTTTTTCGGAAAACATATCCAACAAAAAGTCACAAATCTTAAGCCAAACGTCATCAGAAAGAAAGAGTAGTATTGATTTCGATAGACATAATTTGGGAACAAATAACTGTTCCGATAGTTTGCCAATTGTCTGCACTTCGCCCAATGATAGCGACAACGATGAGTCGGCGTCGTCGACGTCGGCATCGCTGATACCGGCATCGGTCAGCAGCGGTGTTCAGCGGTCGTCCAAATATGAACATCGGATGAAAACGGAAGCCTCGAAATTGAAACTTATGGGCGACGGCTTCAAAGCCCAGAAGACAACGGCCAGCAATCAAGAGCTAAGACGATTGCAGTCAAACGATACATCGTTTGAAGAGCGAAGCTCTTTGTCGGCACTGAAGTCCAAGTTAGAGGGCAACGGATTTTCTGCTTCAAAGATGGCAGCCATACGTCAGGACCAGAAGCAGATGCAGTTCGGCGATACACTTCATACGCACCAAAGTACAGCCAAAGCCAGTTCGTTGAACTTCTGTACGGACGACTCGATCGCCCAGAAGAAGACCTATGAGTCACAAAAAGAAGAACGAATGGTCTCAGCTCACGGACTCATTCAGAATCAAAAGTCTTCGTCTCATTCTTCTTCCTCTAGATTCATGTCGTCGTCGAATTTGGCGTCAAATAATTTGCAATTTTTGAATCACAATGCAATTGATTCGTCAGCACAACCGCTAATCGAAGAACCATTTTCGCCGACAATGCTGTCGTTGGCCAATGAAATGGATTTGGAGTTTGATGTATTGAGTTCGGCAGCCGCCGCCACCACCAATAGTTCACTGAACAGATCCAACAGTACCACTAACTATATTGGCAATTATGACGAAAGTCCAGACATGAAGGGATCAATGGATAAATTGGAGCGAAAAATGTCGAATTTGGTCGAAAAGTTTAACTTAAACAGAGATTCAGTGGAAATATTGACTGTAATGACTGATATGATACGGAAGGCCTGGTCTGTGCCACAGTGTGGCTACGATTTGGGATTCAATATGTCGAAGATTATTAGAGAGGGCGGCGCTCTGGAAATACTTATAAAAAATTGCGAACCGGGTGTCGACTATGAGATCCAGTTCTTAAGCGCACAACTACTGGAACAGTGTTTAACTGCCGAAAACAGGGACTATGTTTGCAAAACGCAAAACGGTTTGTCCGATGTGGTCAACATTGCGTGCAAGTGTGTCGACATGAACTCTATTGAGGAGACCAGAGTGGGAACCGGACTATTGGAGCATCTGTTCAAACATTCGGAAGACGTTTGCAAAGAAGTGATCGCATTGGGCGGTCTCGACAGTATACTGTTTGAATGCCGCAGTACTGATATAACCACTTTGAGACACTGCGCCTCGGCTCTGGCCAACCTATCGCTGTACGGCGGACCAGACAATCAGTTAACAATGATTCAATCGAAAGTACCGGTTTGGTTGTTTCCGCTGGCCTTTCACTACGACGACAACATCAAATACTATGCCTGTCTGGCCATAGCTGTATTAGTGGCCAACAAAGAAGTGGAAGCAGCGGTTCTCAAATCGGGAACACTTAACTTAGTCGAACCGTTCATCTCGAGTCACAATCCGAAAGACTTTGCCCAGAGCTGTACGTCACATATTCACGGCCAGTCCAAGAACTGGCTCAAACGACTGGTACCGGTGCTCAACAGTAACCGAGAAGAGGCCCGAAGTTTGGCCGCATTTCACTTTGCAATGGAGGCCTGGATCAAGAAAACTCAAGAAAAAACATCGGTTTGTGTGTTATTTTTAGTTATTTACAACTTTTTTTACGACTATTGGTTATATTTATCTATAAAAAACAAACAAATATATAGGTTTTCCGTGAGATTGGATGTATTGAGGCCTTGAAGACAGTGGCCGGTTGTCCAAACGCTATCGCTTCCAAATACGCGGCTCAAGCTCTCAGTTTGATTGGCGAAGAAATACCCCATAAACTATCACAACAGGTCCCACTTTGGACCAGTGAAGACGTAAAAGAATGGGTGAAACAGGTTTGTTATATCATTATAACAACAAAAAATCCACTGACATATCGTGTAATCATTTAAATAACTTATTTTTCTTATAAATGTATTGTTTTGTATTTTGTTTCTTTTTTTCTAATGGTATCAATAGATAGGATTTTGTCAATTCGTTAACGAATTCATAGTCAGTCGTGTCGATGGAGATCTGTTATTGCAATTATCTGAAGATATGCTGCGCGACGATATTGGCATCAAAAACGGAATCCTTAGGAAACGATTTCTTCGAGAGTTAGAAAAATTGCAGCGAATTAGTGATTATTCTTCATGTGATTCAACAAATTTGAATTCAGTGCTCAATTCATTGGGCCAGGAGTTCTCCAGATATACCTATTCATTGATCCAAAGCGGTGTCGACCACAACACACTCCGGTTCCTCGATGAGGACATACTCCAGAATGAATGCAAAGTTAATAATAGTATACACAGAATGAAAATAATGCAAACCATTAGAGGTATTCATATATAATATAGTAAAACACATCATCCTATTCAAGAATATTCCGATTAATAATTATTTTCTTTTTTTGTTAATTTTCTAAACGAAAGGCATTAATGAAATTATTCCGGCAAATGAAGTCAAAGACATGAACGATAGGGTCGACATTTTTGTCAGCTATAGGCGCTCTAATGGATCACAATTAGCCAGGTATTTAACAATATATAGCATATACTGTATAAAATAAAAAAGAAAATAATAATAATAATAATTTATTTTTTACAAAAAAAAGTCTACTAAAAGTACATTTACAACTGCGAGGCTTTTCGGTATTCATAGACGTCGAGCGTCTGGAGGCCGGAAAGTTTGACAACAATTTGCTTAGTTCTATACGTCAGGCAAAGTATTTCCTACTAGTCCTCACACCCAACGCTTTGGACAGATGTGTCAATGATGTCGAATGCAAAGACTGGATCCATAAAGTTAGTCATTCATTGATTGGTTTTAAAGATATACCTGATTTCTTGTCGATAAAAAAGAGACAAACAATTATTGTTTTACAATCTCTTTTAGGAAGTGGTGGAAGCGTTAAAAAGTGAATGTAATATCATTCCAATACTGGATAGCTTTCAATGGCCTGACGCCGAAGCACTTCCCGAAGATATGCGAGCCGTTTGCTATTTCAATGCCGTCAGGTTTGTCTCCTCTCCCCTCCCCGTCATTGTTGATGGGGTTTATTAACAATACATATGCTTTTCAGTGTCAATCTAACTGTCCAATTTTGATGTAATTGTTATTATTAGATGGATCCACGACTATCAAGACGCTTGTGTGGACAAATTGGAGCGATTTATGCGCGGCGAGACTAATAAGCTTGATATGAGTGCACAGTTACGTCTCAATAATAATAATAATACTACGATGGCTGTACCGCCCACTCCCAGCACACCATCGATTGCTTCGAAACCACCGGCATATCATAGAAGTGGTAGCTTTGATAGCGGAAGTGGAAAGTGCAGCGAATAGTAGTATACAGTACTGGACTGACAATAATTAAGTTAATTTATATATACTTAAAAGTGACATTAAATTATTATTATTTTTAATTAAAATGAAACTTTTATGTTATGTTTTAACAATATATAATATATCAATATATATAAAAATGAAATTTATACTTTAAATTATTATTATTTATATTTATAAAAATTTATTCACCCAATTATGATGTATATTATGAGGAACGCCTAAAAAGCGAATATTTTCCGTTATGTAAATCCGATAGAGATATCTTTGATTTAATGGTTTCATTAGGCTTTTTAATCCATATCTTGAATTGATTGTCAAATTGTGTTGAAAAAAACAAACAAAAAAAAATAATTAGTTTTTATAATAAAATAGTGTTTTTTGTAATTTCGTAATCAAATTATTCATTCAAAATACCTCTGAAGTGCCAATTTGTACGAGAATTGCATTAAATTTTGTATCATTAGATGACTCGATGAAGACATTCTGTCCCCTATGGAACCATTTCTTATCGTAAAACAGTTTTCCGTCTTCAATTTTGGCATCCGGTGCCATACTATCCATATCCATATTGGCAATTGAAAACTTCTTGAACGTCGTGGCACTGAGTTTTGCATTGTTGTTACATCGGCTCAAGATTTTCAGATCTTCATTAATATCGCTGTCTTCTAGCAATAGATTTAACTGAGGTATTGATTCAAAAAAATTTAAAAAAATAGAAAGTTAAGGAAAAACTTGATTATAAGATAATTTGAATGACAAATAATAACAACAAAAAAAATCAATTGAAAGGATATCAGGTGAGGCCCGACGCCTCTTCTCCGGTATGGGAATCGGTTCATTAGGTCGTCGCCGCAACTTTCTAGTGGTCAACGGTTTCGGTTCCACCGAATCGTTGGTCAACTCCAGAGTGATTCGTTCGCTTTCGACCATCTTTTTCTTGTCTTCCAATTCAATGATTAGCGACTCTTTTAATTCAATTTTTCGCTCTTCAAACTCACGAGCGGCCGAACGCTTCTCCAGAAAATACTCTCTTTCGATGCGTTCATTCTATTGGATCAGTTAATCAAATTAGTTGGTAAATATTGTCTTAAGAATATTAAATATACCTCAAACTTGACAAACACTTCGCTAAACATTTTCCTTTCTTCGTGTATCTCAAGAAGTTTTGCTATTCGGCGCTTATATTCGGGATGAAGACCAGCTTCTAATTGATTCAATTGGTCCTTAAGAGTGGCCAACTTATCCCTATACATCCTGTAATCATATAAATTGACATCAAATACAAAATGACATCTTCATTATCATCAACAACAACACCAAACTTACTGTTCCTTAATCTCTGTGTATTCGTTGTCTGTATTGTCGTATTTGAGAACCACATCTGTTTCCGAGGCGTCTTCAGTGTCTGTAATATACACAAGATATCAATAAATACAGTGAAGAGATATTGGGTTTTGAATTTCAACAGACCTTCATCCGAGTCTCGGACCTCATATAAGTCGTTATAATCGGCACTCAAATCGTCTTCACAGTCGTATTCACTCATTTTTGTTGTTGTTTTCGTGCAATGGATCTAATGGTCACAACAATTATTGGGCCAAAAAAAGATATGTCAAACACAACGACGACAACAATATTATTATCAAAACAAACGACTAATAAATACTTTTTTTTTTGTTATATTATTGTATTATTTGTTAGTCTTTTGAATGGAAAAAATCAAATCATTTTTGAATTCGTGGCAAACATTAGATGTCAGTCAATGGATACGATTTTTATGAACATAATGTACGTCTTAATGTGACATTCAGTCCCCCCCCTCTCTGTGAATGTTACTAAACCCATACAGAATACCATATATACAATACAACAATACAATAATTATTTACTACACAAAAAACAAATGCTGACGTTATTTGTTTTCAATGTTAACTTATGGACCAACAAAATACATGTTTTATTTCCCAATGAGAGAGACTGTAATACTGTTAGACCCAAACATAACACGTGTTTTCTCAACTAAAACAAGAAATGCATTGAAAATGTTTTAAGCAATGCTTTAAAATCATTGATTGATTCAAACATTTTTTTAAATAGATTTTAAATAATATAATAATTATTAACTGATTTGTCGGCCGAAACAAAACAAAAAAAAATGTTGGTCTTGTTTGAGACGGCCGTCGGTTACGCTATATTTAAGGTATGGTTAATGCAGGACATCATCGGTGATCAAATTGATTGCTATTTTTTCACCCATATCTTTGCCTTCACTTCATCCTTTGCCTCTTCCCTAAAACACTTTTGTGGTTAATATCTCATTGTTTTTTCTGTTATCTATTCTTCGACTACTTCATCATCATCTTTAGCTAACCGATGAGTCCAAGTTATCGAAAGTGGACAGTCTGTACAAAGAGTTTGAATCGTCGAAAAAAGCTAACAAATTGTTGGCATTACAACACTTCGAGCGATTCAAAGACACCACTGAAGCGATCAGTTCGGCCACAGCACTGATCGAAGGAAAGATGAACAAGAAGTTGAAGAAAATGCTGAAAAAGATTGTATTGACAGACGTTAGCGAAGAGCTGGCCGTTGCCGATGCAAAACTGGGAAACGTTATCAAAGATAAGCTGAACATCGGTTGTGTGACCAGTTCGGCCATTCAAGAGCTGATGACTGGTATTCGGTCGCAAATTGAGAATTTGGTTCCCGAATGGTCAGCAGAGGACGAGGCGGCCATGCAATTGGGATTATCGCACGGGTTGGCTATTACTTTGATTATTATTTATCATTGATTGTCTTGAAATTACCACCGTTTGATTGTTAACTGAAATGATGATTGCATTGATATTATAGTATAGTTAATATTTAAATGATTTTGATAAATGTCTTTATCGTCACTACCGCTGATCAGTTAAAAAAATGTTGATTATTTAGTTGTCATGTATTATCACAATATATCTATTACCGGTAATTAATATATAATTTTTTTTATTTCAACAGAATCGGTAGATATAGACTGAAATTTAGTCCCGACAAAGTGGACACAATGATCATACAAGCAGTTTGTATGTATTATTAGTCAATTATAATACAATTATTGGTTTTATTGTTATATTTTTTTTGCTTAAGCACTTCTCGATGATTTGGACAAAGAGTTAAACAATTATGTAATGAGAAGTAAGGAATGGTATGGTTGGCATTTTCCCGAAATGGCCAAAATAATTACCGATAATACAGCTTATATACGAACCGTTTTGACAGTCGGTTAGTTAGGAGGGATCTGTTTGTTTCTTTGAGCCTTCAGATTAGTAATCATTGATGTCTTTATTAAATAAAATGTTTTATTAGGAATGCGTACCAATGCTGTCAACACTGATTTGTCGGATATTTTGCCGGAAGAAATTGAAGCAAAAATTAAAGAGATGGCAGAGGTTTCAATGGGAACCGAGATTGCCGAAGAAGATATGATTAATATTCATCAGTTATGCCAAAATGTTTTAGACTTACAGGAATATCGGACACAATTGTTTGAATATTTAAAAAACCGAATGTTAGCTATTGCTCCCAATTTGACAGTACTTGTCGGCGAATTGGTCGGCGCCCGACTCATATCGCACGCCGGTTCCCTAATGAATCTGGCCAAACATCCGGCCTCTACTGTCCAGATATTGGGCGCCGAAAAAGCGTTGTTTCGGGCCTTGAAGACCAAACACGACACCCCTAAATACGGTCTCTTATATCACGCTCAGCTCATTGGCCAAAGTAATCCGAAACTTAAGGGCAAAATGTCCCGTATGTTGGCCGCAAAAGCATCTCTGGCTACTCGTGTCGACGCTTTGGGCGAAGACTCGTCAAATGAATTGGGAGTCGAACACAGAGCCAAACTCGAGGCCCGACTTAAAGTACTCGAAGATTCGGGTCTGCGAGCGATTAGCGGTACCGGAAAGAAAAGGGCGAAGTTTGAAAAGTATGACAACAAATCACAGATACATACATATAAAGCTGCGGCCGACTCGACAATAGCCCACTCGGGTAGTAAACGAAAGACATTTGACGAATCCGATGAAGAAGTCGGCGAATCATCTGATGTTAAAAAAGTAAAAACAGAAGAAGAAGATTCAGAGGAAGAGGTAAAGACGCCTAAGGATTCTAAGAAAAAGAAGAAGAGAGTAAAGGAAGAGCCAGTAGAGGAAGAGGTGGCTCAAGAAGCAGAAGAAGACGAAGGCGAGAGTCAATCGTCGGCTAAGAAGAAAAAGAAGAAGAAGAAGAAAGAGAGTGCAGAATAAAAAAAATAATAGTATTTTTTTGATTGCATTGAAAATTTAGTAAATCATTTAATTTTTAAAAACAATTATTTAATCATTAAATTTGACAATTATTTTATCTATAAAATAAATAAATACACATATTTTTGAAATTATTAATTCTATTGTTTTTTTTTTATTAAAAGTAATTGATTTTTTTTTGGTTTATGATAAAAAATTTATTTTGAAATATGCAATAATATATTTTCTTGTTGACCAGAAAACTGTTTGGGCAACTTTCCCATATTAATTTACTTGGAATTTTTCCAGCAAATTTGTAAATGTATTTTATTTATTAATAGCATCTCTTAATTGCTATGAATGTTTTTTTTTTTGTTTATTTGAAGATAATTAATTTACAGTAAGTATTTTAATATTAATTTTATTAATAACAGTAGCAAAGTTGTATATAATTAAATTAAATTAGTTTATTAGTAATATTTTTATAAATTATTGGGTTATCTATTAATAGTTATATTTTATGATAAACGTTCAATAGGTGTCAGTATGGATACACATAAGTTTCCCAATAACTTTCCATTGGGAAGATAGAAAATATTGTTTTTAATGAATTTTATCAAACTCTACTGTATAATATGTCTATAGAGTCTATATTATAGACTCTATAATATATATATTGATGTGATATACAAAAAATATTAAATTAAAATATAGACTTTTATATACAGTAGTATTTATTGAAAATTTATAGCTTTAATAAATTGTTTGTAATATTAATAATACCTAATAAATTAGTAATGTCTGTAAATATCTATTAAAATTTACTATGTATTTATGTATTTAAGAAATTATAAATTGTTTTAATTACAAAAATATTTTTAAAATTTATTAATTTTTTTATATTAATATAGTTAAGATGAATATTCTTTCTAAAATATCTAGTTTATAATAATATTATTTTTTAAAATAATTTTAATTCACATTATGTTACAAATTCCTATAATTAAAGTAAATTTATTTCTAATACATTATTAATAATAAATTTAAAATAATAATATTTTTTATCAAATTTTTATATAATAAAATTATTTATAAGTTAAATTAATAAATAAATTACAATATATATTCTGTTATATTTATAATACTATACCGTATAATACAGTATACAGTATATAACATTTCAGTATAGTGTTTGCCATTATAGACTGTTTGTATCAATCAATATCAATAAAAAGGGTTTTTAGTTACATATTATTATATATAAATAAAGGTTTGTTTGGAAAAGTTATCTTATTTTGAGAGATAATACTATATAACAATTGTTATAATGGTCTACAAAAAATCCATCCAATATAGCAATAAATTGTATTGTAATTAATAATGAAAACAAACAAAAAAGTCAAGTGTTTTCTTTATGTCACGTCTAGAGAACCGTTAGGTTTATGGTTGGGGAGGGGGAGGAACAAGACTTTTATTGGATGGGTATTCATGAAGTTTGCCATTTGAGAAGTGATTAATAGCTTTTTATCTCATTTGATGAACAATACATATTAGCCATTCAATTGCTTCTCCTATCATCAATGCCTATCCAATTGGTCAAAACAGTCTGACTATCTCTCTTTATCTCTCTCTCTCTCTCTCTCTCTCACACACACACACACACACACTCTCTCTCTCTCACTCACTCACTCACTCACTCACTCACTCACTCACTCACTCACTCACTCACTCACTCACTCACTCACTTTCACTCGCTCTGTTCACTCAATTTTGTCTGTCTATCTCATGAATAGCAAACCATCAATTGCTTCACGACTTAATGTTCATATCAAATAAATAGTCCCATTTCTATGGAGCCTACCATCAAAATAAGCAATTGTGTCATAAATTTATGTTTTTATATCATATATTCACTGTAAGACTACTACTACTACTACCACTTTAGTGTAATACAACCATTTCATCGATAGTTAACTTTCAAACTACTGTCCCCACACACAATAGTCAACGATAGCTAACTTTAATGATACAGACATTACATAAAAATATTGTGGGCTATAACTGTACAAATAAATAGATAAGCAAACCAGATATGGCCATAATAGCCGTCAATTATATACATTTATATATTTGAATCAAACATTTTCATCCCTTTCCTATAAATGATACATTATATAAATATAACATATAGTCAAACAATACCAGCGATAGGATGCATAAAATAACAATCAAATACAGATAATTGGTTTTTCATAATTTGTATTTAAACTTTATGAGCCATGTCTACTATCAAGTAAAAATATCTATATATATTTATATATTTATGTATTGTATTACAAATATAACCCATGTTAAATCATACAAACAAATTATATATTTATACTAGCTATTATTTGTTATAAGTTATAGGAAAATTATATATACAGTACAAGCATTTTCTATTGTATCGTATATTTACAATTTATAACAAGTATTATCGTTGAGTGGATCATTAAAAATATGAAATTTACATTTAGCTCTCTCTCTCTCTCTCTCTCTCTCTCTCTCTCTCTCTCTCTCTCTATCAATCTCTCTCTCCCCCAAACTTCTAGTTTAAATAAAATAAATGCATTTAAATTGTTATTGTTTCATATAAATGCATATATCATGCATATATATATATATTATAAAAGAGAGATATAATACAGTGTAAACAATTGTCGTAAAATGTGAAAAACCATTTTATTGATCACTTACAGGGAATACCATTAAAAGTGAGTGAGTGAGTGATTGAGAGAGAGAGAGAGAGAGAGAGAGAGAGAGAGAGACCGACCGACCGATAGTATAGATATTTATGACTAGAAGTCTGCCACACATTTTTCCAAATAGACAATAAGCTCTATATTATATTGAATTTACAGGTATAGCCTATAGGACTCATCTGTATATTTTTGTTGTCAAAAATTTACAATAAATTTATGTATTTGAATCGTCTATATATATGAATGCGGTTAACCGCAATAAATGTCATAAATATTAAGTTTTGCTTAACTAACCCATTGTAATAGTTGACATACCGTTTCTTCAATGAAAAACCCAGTGGTCAGTAATTGTGTGCCGTTTTTCGGATGAAACACTACACCACAACACACACACACCATACGTGTGCACAATGTATTGTCAACGAGTTTATTGCGGTTTATCATCACTTAATGGGTTATGTTTGAAATTTTCTTTATGTTTCTTACAACAGATATCTGTTTATATGATAATAATTATTTTTTTTTATAATTATTAGTTATTATTAAATATGTACAATATTTTACATATCATATAAACAAAAATTAACTATTAATATACATCAAATACAGTAAATATATTACAGTGGGTCTAAAAAATATAAGAAAAACAAAAATCTGATAATAAAAACTTATTTAACATATATATATATATACGATATAATATATATACTGTATATCTGTATTTTTGTTTTTCATTTAGTAAATGATTGCCAAAATGTTGTGAATTACATACCCGTTCCCATTGAATCCTCCAAAAATCTATGTCTGTCCCATTCATTTGAGTTTTTCGGTTTTAAGCCTTTAGTAACCAAAAATATTTTGTAAATAACAGTAAATAAAATTTTAGGGGTTTATTGTATGCAAAAATTCAATGGTTTAAATCAGTTGTCACTTCTAACAGTGTGTCTAAGAGTGGCAAAAATCAATTTAATTTATATGTCATTTTCAATGAATGAATGAATGGATAAATAAATAAATGAATGAATGAACACTTTATTTATCGGCAGAGAAAATGTGTGACAATAATTGTACATTTATTTATATAAATCTAATTTAATTGACACTAAATATGCCAAATATTTATTCATTAAAACCTTTTATAGCTTATTATTATAATACTAACACTACGAGTAGTTCAATTGGTATAATTAAAATAGTAAATACAGTGTATACAGAATATATGCGCCTATAAAAATATATTTGCATAAAAATATTTTATATATCATATGCTAAACATTTATTCAAAAAAAAAATATTGATGTTATAATTTTACAATAAACTGCGACATTTTTTTCTCTCTCTCTCTCTCTCTCTCTCTCTTACCTATTCAATGTGATGAAGTATATATATGCACACACAGTATATTGAAAGGTGTATTATTTAGTTAAGCATTTAAGTTATCCAATTAGTAATGCAGTTAATGATAAGCTATATATATATATATATATTTATATATATAATATAAGCGATCGATTCAATGGGTTTTTATCCAATTATCCGTCAAAAGAGCTGAACATCTTTAAGGAGTAAGTTTTCTGAGAACATCTCACTGGAGGACACACCTAATGCTTGGGTGGTCGTAGTGTTTGTGTGTGTGTTTGTGTCAGTGCATGTGCTTTATTGTCGCTAAAGAGTGTCCAAACATTATCATCAAAAAGAGGGCTCAATTGCTTTGGCTATTGTCTGTGCTTTCTTTGGGGAGGTTTTGAAACCTTTAACAAGACTTGAGGCCATCATTTGAGTTGTCTTTTTCAACAACAAAAAAATAGACAAACATTTCAACTATAATGACAAAAGTGCTCTAAAAGCTAGAAGTCAAGTCATTACTTACTAATAATAAAGAAAATTGTCGCATATTTATCACATTCACTGATTGTTGGATTGTTGGGTCTACGGAAACGGCAACTTTTAGGCACACTTACCACTCGTGCCATTAGAGTCTCTCTTTTAAATGCCATTAGCTTTTTCGTTCATATCATTGCTTATCTAATATAGAGATAAGTAAAAATGTTTTTGTGTCTATGCTTAATACACACACACACACACACACACACACACACACACACACACACACACACACACACACACACACACACACACACACACACACACACACACACACACACACACATACATACACACACACACACACATACATACATACATACACACACGCATACATACACACACACGCACACACACAGTTGCAAATTGCTAAAATGCCTTTTAAAAAATTTGTCAAAAAATTTATATCAATCATTGAGTTTTAAATGTATGATAACTGTATTATAAACTTAAAAAATATTATCATTTGCATTAAACATTTTATATTTGCTTAGCAATAAATATTTAGCTAGCTAAAATTTGTAAAAATAATAATTTGATCAGTTTTCTAGTACAATAATAGATTTAATTATATATTTTAATGACATATTCCTAAATACTCCTAAATTATTGACTAAATACCAATATTATTGCACACACTTACACATACAGCACACGCATATTATTTGAAACAAATGATATACTTTTTAAGTGGCAATTAATTATTTCAAAAGGAAACAGTTTGTTTTAAACCAGATTTAAGTGTATTTTGTTGTTGTTGTGAATAATTGCATAATTGAAAACACGAGTTCACTATTTAAGAGTCTTTTAGGCATTTAGTCTACTATTACTGGTGTACTGTAAATGCTTTCTACAATTATAAAGAGCTGCTAATGTGTTATATATATGAAAGTTATGCAAATGTTTTATTTATTTTTTTGTTGTTGAAATATTATTATCTCAACTATTGGCTCCACTTTTGATTTTATTTCGGTATATAAATATATATATATTTAAAAAAAAAATGTCGTCTTATAGTTGATGAATACATTAAGTGTGTATTTTAAAAAGCATTTGTATGTAAATGCTTTAATAATTATCACTTATCTGATCGACTATTATTATTATCTGTCATTATTTAGTTTGGGTCTCTTAAATGCATGTTTTTAAACACACAGATGCTCTTTCAAATGAACACATCAGAGAAAAAATGTGTTCACACTTTAAGCATTCAATTTTAGCAAATTAACTAATATTACTGTATTATAAATATCATATATTTAATAAATTAGTTATATAGATATTTATATATAAATTATATATAAACTTATACAGTATTATATAGTCCTCTATATTACTAAACAATGTTATGATATTATAATAGTAAATAACATAGAGCAACTTACTGTTTTTATCATTTTACAATGTTTTAATTAAAACCATTTGGGAACTGGACAATCAGATCCAGACACCCGCAGATGGGCAAATAAACATAATGTTATGGGTAAGGTATTGGGTGCAGTCATGGGCGCACCCGACCCTAAAATCAAAAATATAACCCATAAATGATTGCCTTTCATCCATAAAAATTTTGGTCAACCAAACAACAACAACAAAATACCAGTAAAGTTAATATTAATGCAAAAAAATTTAAACAATATTGTAAAAAAATATATCTATAATATGTAGGCCTAATTTTATATAACTGTCATATACTGTAGATACCCGACACCTTGTTATTCCCTCATAAAAAATACATTTATCCCTTGTTTACCAATTAGAAAGATTAACAACACAAACACATAGAGAATTAATTTTGTTAATAATTATTTTTCAAGAATAAATTAAATGCTTAATTGTAGTGTCATTTATACAACTAATACTGTTTCAAATAATTGATATTTGAAACACCAATGTTTTTCCCGATAGTTTTATTTTCCAAACATTTAATTTAATGGTAGAAAGAGAGAGAGAGAGAGAGAGAGAGAGAGAGAGATAGCCCGGTGCTAACTCTATACTGTAATTGAGTGCTAAATGAATAGCTTTATGTGTGTATGACATCTAAAGTGGAGATCAAATTAAAAGGTGTATCGATTGTCATATAAGTCTTTAGTCACAGTTATTGTATTGTACGGTATGTACAGTATGTATGTGTCTCAATGGTATTCAATGCTTTAAATGTGTTGTCATCTCTAAATAAAAATCAATACAACGGTGCAATACAACAGACACTTATATTGATTTATATATATAACATCTCTCTCTCTCTCTCTCTCTCTCTCTCTCTCTCTTCAGTATTTTTAGTCACTTCGTCTTCTTCACTGAAAGTATTAGGTGTTTGCAAACTCCTTAATCCTAATGACAGCAACTGTAAGGCATACTCGCAATACAGAGACATCGATACACAGATACTGTACAAAAAAAGTGTCTGAATTACGAGGAAAGGTGTCTTTTTTGTGCTTTGAATAATATGTGTTGACTTATTTGTTGAGCAAAATTTATTTGTCAACTGTCAGAGACACGTTCCTTAACCATTGTATGTGTCCACACAATTGTGTTATACAATTGTGTGGAGGATTTGTGTGTATGTATGTGAGTGTGTGTGTGTGTGTGTGTGTGTGTGTGTGTGTGCATGGATGAGACGTGATGCCACACCACAGACAGATATATAGTGACACTGAGAGGATAATACACAGACACACGAGTAAAGCACTGGTAATCAGATTTCAGAGATTTTTGTGTCAGCACCTGACTATTTTGTGGAAACTAACTGTTCAATCGGTAACAATTTTGCAGTCAAATCTCTCTCTCTCTCTCTCTCTCTCTCTCTCTCTCTCTCTCTCTCGAAATAAAAAGGCCAATAAAGAGAGTAAATGTCTGTTCAGAGTAGTATAGTATAGGGCTGTGCTTTTGTTGCTGTTGTTAAACCCGTTTTTATTGATAACCTCATCAAAAGCTTGTTGCCTGAGCTGTGAGTGAGTGTAATGTTAGCAAATATACAGTACTAGTATAGGCAGCTTATAATATATTGCAGTCATCTCTATGGGTGGTTTGCTTTTGCTATGCGATATCGCATATATAAAAAGTTAAAGAATATTACATCAATTCTATACAATAGAAACGGGAGGCCTGAGCTACAGCACAGGGCATTATGCCTGTGTCTGTCTGTGTGTTTGTATATATGTGATGACTGAGCGCACGAGACTTAAAACCATAATAATACTGTAAAATTCATGAATTATATATTAGTTCAGAAAAAAGGCTATTGTGCTTAACTCAAGTGTTACAACAACCCATAGTTATTGCTTAATATATATAAATTATGCGCTCAAATGTTGGCACTTATTAAATAAATGTCTTATTTCGCGCTTTTTATTGTCCAATAAATCCAATTATCGATTTGTTATACAATGTCATGAACTTTATTTAAAAAAAAGAAAAAAGAAGAAAAATACTATTAGTATTATTATTAGTATTATTATAGTTTTATGGATAAAATTATATACACATTATATTCCCAAACAAATTACTCCTCATTTTTTTCTCGGATGTAATGTTCATTAAATAACTATAATTGGTGTAAAACATTAAGAATCTCATGAATTTTCAAATACAATAGAATTTGCCATAAATTTGATGCCAATCTATACACTATATATATATATATGAGACATACATACATGAGATAATGCCTAACTATAGTACAGTATATACTGTACATCAAAGGGATACAAACACATTGGTATTGGGAGGTATAATAAAAATATATACATAAACAGTATATACATATAAAAAGTGTGATAATATCAGTCATAATAATTCAGTATTTATTAGAGACACGAGAGTGACTCCGGAGGTTATGTTGTTTGGGAGAGAAAGAATGATAGAGAGATAGCGAGAGAGAGAGAGAGAGAGAGAGAGAGAGAGAGAGAGAGAGAGAGAGAGAGAGAGAGAGAGAGAGAGAGAATATCCACCGATTTTTGTTATATCAATGTTAATGTATTGTTTAAGACATACATACAGTATATCATATAACTAAGTAATACTAATACTAATATCTATGATAGTGTAGTAAACATTAAATACTAATAACTGTTTGAGTAGTAAAACACACGAAGGAATGCACTTTATAACTATTCTTTCAGTGTTTTCATTTGGATAACAATTAAATTGAATATAATATAATAATGCCTGCAATCATAGCCAGAGTGCCGGCGCTTGTAAGGTCCAGGCGCTTGGCAATAGACCTGTATGTATATATGTATGTATGTTGGTGTGTGTGTCAGCGCGCACAGGGCTGTAAAAATAAAAAGCCCATCACTATTACAACAACTACAGTACTACTAGTGAGGCGCTCGACAATATCTGAGCGCATTTGTCATAAAATTAAAATCGTCGTGTCTTTGATCTGATGTCGGACTCCCCAATATAAAACATATTATATATATATTATATTATTATATTAGCTTCAACTATATACTACTTACAAATAACGGCCCTCACCTACCAGTGCTCAGTACAGCTTAGTGTTTAGCAATAATATATATGATATATATTGTATATATTGTAGATAGTTTGGTACGGCCCCCATCGCCCCTCTTTAGTAGCGCTATAATTTACTTTACGATGCCGTCCAGTGGCAACACAACTCACGAGCTCTTAAGTAGTGGGAGTCGACTCCAATCAGACAACTCTCTTGCCTATCAGTCAAACACTCCGCTCCCACTTCAATACAACCACATCTTTCTCTCACTCACTCACTCGATCTCCCAGTCCTTAAACTCCTGGACTATAGACTCGAATCGCATCATTTAGTTAAAGTCGTTGACGAGTCAACACATCCCCACACCTGAACTAAAAAAAATCATAAGAGACAGATAAAGACATAGTTGTGTTGTCGTCGCCACCATCACCACCACCGCCGCCGCTTAACAGTGTATTCAATGATATCGATGATGACTATGAACAGTATGAATAACATACAGCAAACTAATGCTAACAATATCAACAACCAAGACATGGCTGCCATCCGAAGATATCGGACAGCCTTTACTAAGGAACAGTTGACACAATTGGAAAAAGAGTTTCATCGGGAAAACTATGTGTCGCGACCGCGAAGGTGTGAGTTGGCCGCATCCCTAAGCCTTCCTGAGAGTACTATTAAGGTAATGTATTAACAAATTAATTATTAAATGGCAGAAATTTTTGTTTTTTATAATATATATATATATTTAGATATCTAACCGAAAATAAATAAATTATATCTAATTTATATATAAATATATTTCTATATGATTTGTGCTGTAGGTTTGGTTTCAAAATAGACGTATGAAAGATAAGCGACAACGTATGGCACTTACCTGGCCGTACACAGACCCGCACTTTGCCGCCTATATGTTTGCCGCAGCGGCCACTGCAGCCGCCTACGGACATCAGCCGACCGCTGCCTACTGGAACCGAAATGGCGCCGCATATCCAAACTCATCCTATATGATGATGAGGCCGCCAGTGTCATCGGCACCGGTAACACCGAATCAGTTCATACCGTCACCCGGGAGTCTGTCGCGAACTATAGATTCAATATCAAAGACAGATGACTGTTGCAATTCAAACGTCTGTCGCGGATGTAATTCACCCACAAATGTAATACTTAACACCTCATTACCGATGACCAGGACTACTACATCGCCGGACATACCGATGTCGAAGCCGCTCTTTCAGCCCTATAAGTCTGATCTGCAAAAGTAAGCGATAATAATAATAATAATAACAAAAATAACAAAAAAAAAACCAAGTCTTCATATAATTTGTTTGTCTATAACATCTATCTCTGTCTCATTCATTCAGTTATTTGTAATTAATTACAAAATTTTTTCTTTTTTGTATTTATAACATAAAAATAATGATTTTGCCATCAATTTACCAATTAATTTATATAAGATATGAAATATCTTATATCTCTATGCGAGGAGTCTTTAACTAAAAAACTTTAGAAAAAAAACTTTATATAAAAAACAATAATAGCTATCATTTTACAGAATGCAAAAAAAACAATATATTTGTCAGCAGTTTAGCAAATGACAGCAATATTTAAATATTTAATGTTTTTATTACACAATTAGGATGTATTTGATTATTATTATTATTATTTTGAGTGTATAAAGTATTTATAGCTTTCAAGTATTTATACTGATTGTACACATTTATGTTATAAATATAATATGAATTGATATGTGTTTGTGTAGTATAATACTGTATTTATAAAAATCATATATGATATATATATATATACTGTAAGTTATAGAAAAATAATTATTAAGATAATTGTAAAAAAAACAAATGTTTGCCAAATCTTTTCCTATTTCATTTAATTTATTTAAAAAATACCATTAATTGTAAAAAACATTTTAAAAAAGTCAATTTAGTAATCATTTGAAAATAATCATAAAATTTTTAATGTAAAATATTTCTCAATTAATTTAATAAAATAATTATATAAAAACATAAAGTTTTGGTTTATTTTATTTTATAATACTAATAATACCAATAGTTATTAATTACACTGAATAATAAAATATTGTTTTATAGTACCGGTATTACCGTATTTTGATAAACTTTAAAAAAAATTTAACACAAAGATGTCATAATTTTTTTAAATTGAATTTTATTTTTATTATTTGAATATTTTTAAATAAGTTTAATTAAGTTAACTAATAATAAATCTTAATAAAACTTTTGTAACAAAATTAATGTCCAAATTTACTATTATATTGTAATAATAGTAAAACTCTATTGTTACCAACAACAACAAAAAAATACTTCAAATTATTTGGTAATTTAAATATTATAATATAGTGCTGGTGTCTAAAAATACTAAGCCTAAGATAGTGTCATCCAAGCACAGGGAGGTCCCATAGGCTAACGATTTTAGTAATTTCCGATCATTTTTCTGTGTTTTACACCATTATATATACTGTACTGTATATATATATCTGTGATTGCCTCCCAAGTATTAAAAGGAGGGGTCGTCCACAGCCTATTGTTTTTTTGCTTCGGGCATTAAATGGGTCCTCAACTGAGATTTTTAGGGGTCCACAACCATTGACAACCATCAATGTTATGCCAAACCTTTAAGATACAAATGATTGATTTATATTTTCATTTTTCTAATTGAAATGTTTTGTCAAATAATGTTAATGAAAATATATTCAGTATATAATACAATACACTTTAGTATTACAATAACTCTATTGTAAACATTTTCTTAATTAATATATTAGTCTTTGAAAAAAATAATAAAATTAGTTTTTTTTTAATAAATTATATTTTACTAGTTTATGATAATTTGTAATAAAATGAATATTACATAAGCTCTAAGCTTTTAACTAACTATGAATATTAATTTGTAGTTATAAAGTTTACAAATGTTGATAACAAATAAAAAAATTTAATAATTTTTAATGATAGCTTTGACAAATAGGTGATTATATATATATGATATATATATATATATAAAAGTTTATATAAATTATCAATAACATGACAACTTAAATAATTAATCTTAATTTATGTAAAAATTAATAATATAAAAAAGTTATCCTTTTATGGTGGCTATTATTATTATTATTACTATATAAAAATTATTACTATAATATTAAATTTTATTATTTAGATCATTAATTGTTTTGTATTATGAATTTATGCTATACTTATATAAAATCATTAATTATGTACAATATTATCAAATTTATTCATATATAAATCACAGATGCTAAAATATTGTATACTGTTATAAAGTTTATTATTTTATATAAGATTGAAATTGACAACAATATATATATATTAATCGGATAATATATCTGAGAATAATTATAAAAAATAAATAAATATAATAATCATATAAAATAATTATTATATTTATATATTTTCTTATAACGTAAACTTAAATTAATGTAATAAAAATATACTATAAATATATTGCAATCAATAATAGTTTGTATAATTTTTGTGTAACTTAATACCTGTTTGCCTATATATTATGTAATGGATAAGTTGTTTTGTTAGTCTCAAAATAATAATAATTTTCAATAATAATACTGTAATATATATTGATATATAAAAATACTAATAAAATCAGCAAATTGATAGCTACATAATAGTTGTCAATTTAGTTGATAATATAGATCAAAGTAAATGTGTAAATATATATATAGATAAAAATCAATGTAATACTATGTTAAATATAATAGTATAGTAGTTTATATAGTACCTGATCAATGATTTTTTGGGAGGAGCCTTAACTACATGAGCAGATACTGACTACAGTACTACTACCACTATTACATTACTAACTAGAAATAGCAAATAAATGGATATACATATATAAAAGTGATGGCAATAATAATGAAATGTAATTAATTGCAGTGCTGTAATCCCGAGTAGATTATACTGAAATAACATTTATTTATTTATATTTTTTTTGAAAGAAAAAAAACTAATCAAATGAATCGACAAATATTCAATGGATGTGTGCTTAAAATGAAATAAATTATTATTTATCGCTCAAATAAGTCATGAAATATATTATGATAGCTATATAATAGGTCGGCATTTGTATTGTGTGTGTGTGTGTGTGTGTGTGTGTTATGTATCTGTAATAGAGATGATATTATGAAAAGAGGGAATTAGTTGATACAGAGAGGTTGGTATTGAAGAATCGGCACATATTGTTGATTGTGATGTAAATAAGTGTCAACTATATTAAAATGGATTATAAATCGCTCTATCATTTTGCTGTATAACATATAAAACACAATATACCATATAATATAACTTTTATATATCAATATATATAAATACAGTAATTTTTGTATATATTGGCTGCGCTATTGTGTCGCAGGTGTAGACATATAGAAGAGACCATTATTCAGGCTTTTTTTTTGCTGATCAATTGCACTCTAGAGGACAGCCTAACGCACATAACTGGCAGCTATTATACGCTATTCTTGTGCCCAAACCGTTTGCAGTCATCTATTCTTAATCACTGTTTGTGAGGCAAATCCCAAACAATTTATAAGTAACTTCTCGACGCTTTGCGCGACACTTACTCTCTCTCTCTCTCTCTCTCTCTCTCTCTCTCTCTCTCACTCACTCACTCACTCACTCACTCACTCACTAAGTCTTTTACTTAGTTTTGATGTAATTGTTTCCCATCGCACCTCTCCTTTTCATATATCAATTTCTGGATTATCTCGTAATCCTATATTTGTTGTCACAAATGTTTACGGGTGGGAGCGGTCATTGAAAAAAATACTGATTGAAGTTTTTCTGTGCCCTAATAATAATTAATTACAAACTATCGACTAAAACTTCCCGTAAATTAACTATCAAATTAGTCACACCATTTCAATCAACTGTATGTTTGTTGTCACATATTGTCCACATATACTGTAAACTACCTATTATTTAAACTTATTGTAATTATGTACCAAATGGTTGGTCATTAAGGACCCAAAAATATGTTGCAAACACTACATCTATTATATTAAAGATGCCATTAGTGATATATATTGTATATTATACTGGTATTATATAAATAAAACTATATAAACATAATTCTACCTGTCCAATTAATTACAGTATTAAATCCTATATGACCATGGTGGGCGGTCAATCAATGTTAATTGCTAGATTATTTAACTAATTCTGTATATTAATAAAAAAATAATAATAATAGATTTTTATATTTATTTTATGTTTAGATACTTTATCGGATAATGTAGTTTATCCAACTTTATCCAACTTTTATACTTATATATTGTATGTGTATATATTATATCACTATTTAATTAAAATTTCTAGATTAATCAAAATTATTACTATTATTATTATTGTTTAAAATATTATTTAATATACTAAATATAAAATAAAAATTAAACCTGCTATAAACTGAATGCCTAGTGCTATATTATATATTGTAATCGCTTGATATTGTTTATTGGGTTTCCAAAGAGAGAGAGAGAGAGAGAGAGAGAGAGAGACTAGCAATTTGTCAATAACTGGATATATCAGACTATATGGCTATACATTGTAGCCTAAAAACGCATCCCTCGATAGGAATTGCAGGCATTTATTGTTTGAAAAATAATTATAATTTATATGATTTATTCAATTAGCTATTGAATTGGTCGGCATTTGTTCATAAGGTATTCAACAACAATAACAACAACAACAACGACGACACTAATAAAAACAGAAGAACTTATTTGCCATTAAAATGTCATTCACTGTCATTTTGAAGGCAAGACTTTTATTGGACGCATATATATATGTTGACACATAATAGTCTATATATATATGATAGTCGATGGTTGGTATGGTGTGGCCTCCAGTTTCCCAATAAAACACATAAATAGTAGGACACATCCAAGTATGTGTGTGTATATGTATGTATGGATATGTCGGCAAAGTTATCCCAAAAACAAAGGGCAATCAATTAATTAAATTGGTTTATTAGTAGACAAATCAATGTGTCATTTGTTTGGCTGGTAATCATACAATGCTTTTATAATTGTCGCATAAAATCCAATCAGTCATTAAAATCTTAATATTTTTATAATGTTTGCTATTTTAATCTATAAATGGAAACCCTTTTTATTTATTTATTTAGTATAAATTATTTTTGGATTTTCAAAAATTTATATATAATAAAAACATTTTGACATACCTGGATAGATTGGTTGCGGAAA